GTCTCTAGCTTCAAGTGTGTCCAAGAAAAGGTCAACGTGGAAGCGCACAGCCTGACAGAAGCTGCTCGAAGCCAATATACTCATCTAGCTGCGTTATTAGAGTATAAAAAGCGAAATTTTCAGCACAGCTAAAAACAAATATTTATTACAATTACTTTCACTGCCGGCTATAGTTTGTCAGCGAACTGAGGCGCTCTGTGTGACAGCGGCTTCGGCTTCGGCTTCGGTCCGGTCTTGAGGCACTGGCAACTGCAACACCGTTGTCGACAATATTTTTTTTTAGTTTTTTTTTTATAGGCGCTTTTCACCTATTTACGCCATAGAAGAAAAAAACACGTACCAAAAGTTTTAGTTAGGCTGGTGTGTAAAACTCGTTTTCGAATGCAAAATGCGTTTATTTACTTTATTGTATACCCTGTATGCATTTTGAATGAGTAACACACACTCTTTGCCCGCATCCGATTTCATATTGCCTATAAATATATATATATATATACTCTATATATTTATTTGTTCCATTTTTATTGTAGTTTATAATATAAGCCGATTAAACTTATTTTAATTATTTCATTACTCCTTCAGTTCGGAGATTAAAGAGCTAACTTTTTGAGCTTTCTTTTAAATGCGGTTTATTTTTAATTGGATGACTTTCAGTTCAGATCTGGGTAAATGGCAACATTAGTTGTATGTGATTATTTCTATGTCAGATGCCCTTAACCTATTCGAAACGGATATTAATATATAATATTCATTATCAGCTTGCACATTGAATGCATATTTTTCGAATTTTAAACAGAAGCACTTTGATTAACTGTAAGAATTTCATTTAAAAAAAAATGTAAAAAAAAACACGGACGTAAAGTGTATAAATATGTTTTTCAGAGTGTTGATTCGATTATACAAAACGTGCTTAAATTTGATGGGTAAACACCAAGTGTTTCGAGGTACCTCTTAGTCGTGCTCTATCGACTAAAGCATTTTTACCTGTTTTTTTTCTGTAAATGACGGCGCAAAAAGCCAGTTGAATGTTCAGTGAACTCGAGTCCGATCTCTCCCTTTGGCTCTGTCAAAAGTGTCCCTCATTGAGAGAGTCAAGAGTTCACAGCAAAGAGTTAAATGCCAGCCATGTCCGAGAATGAGGTCTATTGTGCAATAAGCATTTTTAGAACGGTTTTTTTTTTTTTGGTTTTTGTTTCGTTAACTCAAAACTTAAAACATTATTGAATGGGGTCTTGTCAGTCTAGCATTGAGCGAAAACTCTTTTCTCATTGTTATCTATTTGTCTGGCCATCTATCTGGCGGTTGTCTGTCTACCTAACCGGGTTGGAAACGCAGCTAACAAAACTTTTACGGCTAATGGCCACTTTGCTCATTATAAGCCAACTAAAAGAGAGACTGAAGCCAAAAACTCTTTGCGGTTGCGGTTTTTGGTTTTCAGCTGCTAAGACTGCAGCTGCGGTCGGAGTTGCGCCTCACTTTTGTCCCGGAGCTGTGGGTGCTTTCAATTTTCACAACATTTTATCTACTTAATGTCAAATCCGCTCAAAGTTAAAACGCCAACAAAAGTGTTCCAAAGAGAATGTGAAGCTATAAAGGGCAACACAACTGGCTGCCACACAAACAATAACAGCTACAATAATATATCATTATATATTTTCAGAGCATTAATACTCCTATTACCTTTCAGACAAAAGTTTTTCAAAGGATTACAGTTAGGGAGTTCACTATTCTTATTTTCTATAAATTGTTATTCGTGTACTTGTGCACTTTTTAAAATCAAAACTGTTCTGGAATAGTTGATTAACAGCTTTTTGGTTTTCCTTAAAAGTTTTAGCATTTAAATATCATAAATTGTTTGTACTTTTAGATGTATTTTACAAAACTGGTTGAGATGTTGATTTTTAGTTGTAATTATGCTAATTGAAAAGTATTTCGTGCAAAACTGCACAACTAGCCAGTTAATTACATATATATAAAAGTAATAATTATTTCATTGTGAGATAAAACTTGGAAACCTCGTTTAGACAATCAATAAATAAATAATAAAAATACATAAATATAGTGTAGAAAGGTCGATCTAGCATAACTTGTACACATCTTAGATTTTCAAATCAGCACGATGGAAAAAGCATGTACACTCTTATGTATAAGTAAATATGAAACCAAAAATAAACCAAAAATAATGTGCTTAAATACATACAAATGGAGCACATGGTTTTATAAACAAATATTGTTGAAGACCATTTGTGTGCTTCGCATTTAGACATATCTCAGGTAAATTAACAAACAGCAAATCACACAAGTTTTCCACAATAAAAGTCACTTTACTAAAATGGCCTGTGCAATGCAGCGTATGAGCAATTAATAATTATAAGGAATGATTTTCGTGCCGGGCGCACCCAGAGAACCCAGAGAACCCAACCGACAATTAGACACAATGTTAGCCAAGTTGGCGGCCGTTAAATGAGTCATCATCCAACGCTTCGCACTGACCCAAATTGTCCGAGAGAGCCAACTAATGTGGGGAGGGGTGGTAAGTGAAGGGGCAACCACATCGACTGGCAACAGACCAACAGAAGTCTATTCGCTCGAGCAACGTTTCCGGAATTTTGATGCATTTCACTGGACAACGAACGGGTGCTTCAAGCCATTCAACTACGTTGCGTTAATAGAGTGTGGAAAGTGTTAATGCACAACAGGCCAGAGACTTAGAGACTTGAAAAATGTTCAAATTGGAATACTCATATATGAATAATAAATCAGAAATAGGGTCTTTGAACTGTACTGAAAGAAGCAACTCACAAAAAGTGCCAGCTCATTTTCCTATAATATGTTATTAACTTTTTTGTATGTTTTCCTAATTAAAAAAATACTTTTAGATGATGAGATCAAAGTTTGATATTGTCCATTAATAATAAGAATAAATTATTTTCAAGTTAATTTAAATTTCTTAAACTATTTTTTATAGAGTATAGAAGAAAGACTCTTCGACACAATAAACTCTGGAAACGACTTAAAAGATTTACAATAAGTAAAGAGTACTTTTAGTAAATTATACTTGAGAATTGTAATAGTTTCAATAATGGCAAATAATAATCATATTCATCTTAGAACTCTTTGTAGTGAAAGCAGATAAGACAACGAAATTGCCAGTGCCAAAGAAGAGAAATGCCAGTGCAAAGAGACAAAACAGCAAGTGTGGAGCCCAGTTAATTAACTGATATGAAGTGCCTAAATACTTGGCCTTCATTGAAGATAATAAAAAATATATATTAATTTATTTTCACAGATGCAGTGTGAAGTGTTGAAGTGCTTCAGGGAAGGTGTGATGGCAAATGTGAATAGTTTATAGTCTATTGAGATTTCTATATGTATCTGCTGCTTTGTTTGCATTGTTGTACCCAAATCTTGAACCCAACTCCAACGTGTCAGATCAGTTGGCTGAACTAAATTCAGTTGGGCTTCCCCTTGCGTAACGGCAACAATAACATTTCCCTAATGTCATTTAATTATTTGTGTAACTGAGACCAAAATGCCAATAGAATTGCCGAAAAATAGAAAGCATATCAATCAAATACGTTTTCGGTTTCTGTTTACATTCTCGCATTGGTTTGTTTGCCCAGATTGCCCCAAAGCACAACCAGCCACAACTAGTATTGATTTTTTACTTACTTTTCATTCTTTTCTTGACTGCTCTGTTTGTCTATGAATTTAAAATCGAAAATTATCAAATGAAATTCCAGCAGCTTTGCATTTTCCTTCAATTATGTTGACAAAGGATTTGAAACTGAGTCCATAAGCCAAATGGAATATTTGCCTATTCAAATATATATGGGTCTATTAACAACTTTTTCATTTCATTCTAAAAAGAGACAAAACACAATTTCTACAAATGAATTTCACTCATTTTTTAATATACTGCAATATTTAATTGCTTATTTGTGGAAGTTTAAAATTCAGTTTGAAGACAACCCGGATTACACTGAAATAAAACCTGCAGTTTAAAAATAACTAATCTGATTGCATGGGGAAATCGAATTTGATTAAATTTATATATAGCCAGACAAGAATGTTGATGCTGGTCAAGAAAATATATATGCTTTGTGAAGTCCAAGTTACATTTAGTTCCACATCGATTGCAAAAGATTATTGATGATCGAGTGCGATATGTGTTTAGTAATTAGCACTAATATTTCCAAAGAGTTTCAGCACTTAAAATATTTAGTTGCACTTTGTTATAATACTTATACCAGCGATTACTTAACTTAACACCAAATACATATATATGTGGATAAACACGTTAACCGATAATCAAAATTGAGGCCAACACTAAGTGAAAATTACATTTTTTTTATTATTGCACAAAATGGATTTGTATTTACCAAAAGTCAACCGAATTGCCAACACTCAAATGGATGGAAAAACATGCAGCAATACACAACTGACGCACCAGCAACCAGTTCAATGGGCGTCGCGAAGATAGCGAGAAACCGCAATAACAAGCAAAACAGGCAGCGCCAAAGACGCGTGTCAAAAGAGACGCCACAATTTGCGCATGCGGCACTCGCCTTTCACTTTCTTTGTACGCGACACGATCGGATTTTATCTCCCCCTTTGATCTCTCGCGCTCTCTGTCCCACTCTTTCTCTCTCTTTCTTCTCTTTGTCTCTGTCTGTTTCTTTCCCTCTCAATACTGAAGAACTATTAAAAAGTGTTACCAACTGCGCTGCAAACCATAAAAAGTATTCAAGTTTAGCAGCAACTAGAAACGAGCAAATTTAAGCAACTTTTTATTTTATATCTATTTATTTATAAATTAAATTATGTAAAGTAAACAAAAAAGCTCTTTTATCCATACATATGTACATAAAACAGTTTATAATTTTGTTATTTTTAAAGATTTTTTATATTTTTATATTTTGAATATGTCAATATTTTACTTCTTGATTGGATTGTAGTGAATGACAATATACTCTTTTAAATTGCTGTTAATCTCTTACCTATCCTGCAGCAGCTGCTCGGCCTGAGCGAGACGCAGTCGCACCGTCTTCATGCTCTGTATGGGAAACAGTCGGCAGAAGGGCGTAAGGAAGGCGGGACGCCAACAGAAACGTGGAAACTCACGACAAACGTCCCACAGCCGCTGATTGTGTTCGAAGAGATACGTATGCGTCTTGCCATATTCCAAGTAATCGGTCATGTCACCGTAATCACAATTGAGCAGATTCTTCAGATTTTGTACGGCCAACTGCTGATCGTCCGGATCACGCACCTGCTTGATGCCAAAGTCCAGCAACGGTTCATAGTGATAATAATTGCCCGGAATCGCATTCAGAATGTCGCCCAGAAATGTGGAGCCCGAACGCCAGCTGGTGACGACAATGCTGCGCACGGGTGTGCCCTGGGTTTCCGGCGTCATATCGTTGAGTTTCTCGGCGCCGCCACGCGGATATTCGAAATTCTCCATTTCGGTGAGAATGCGAGCGCGTTGCGCCGCCAGGACATCCACTATGGTCGCTGTCATATTGTAAATAATGGCGGCAGTTTGTGACGGCTGCTGCAGTCGCTCATAGTAGCCGCCACCATTGCGTGTCAGCAGATTGCTGGCAGCTCCATTGCCGTTGCCGCCGCTGCTGGAGCTGGAGCTGCTACCAAATGGTGAGGTTAGCGGTCTGTGCTGTGTGGTGGCAATCAGCAGCAGTATGCACAAACTGCTAACGCCACAGATGCCAATGAGATTAGCGCGTCTTGACATGCGGCTGCGTCGACGTTTTGAATTTAAACTGATGCGCTGCTTAGTGCGTGTCCTGACAGTGCCGGAAGCGGATGCGGATGCGGAAGCGTTGACGTTGACGTTGGCGGGATCTGTGACAAGCAAGGAATTGGAGCAGTCGCCAGTTGCAGCAGTTTCGTCGGCTTCGCCGGTCAGCAGTGCACACGACTCCAGATCCAAATCGGTTGTGCTCATTTGTTATTTGCTTTTTATTTAATTCACCAACTGGCAAAATACAAAAAAACACTTTTGCACTTACAAACTATTTACAAACTTTTCTCTCTCAATGCGCTTTATTTGTTTACATATTTTACATAAACAAAACACACACAACACACACTTGCAGAGCACAGCACAGCACGAAATAACACAACACACACACAACGTAAGCTCGTTTTGCGAGAGATTTGTCACATTTTATTATTGGCAAATTAACATTGCAAATTTGATGCACAAGCTGCAATTTTGTATGCGCTATATTTGATTTTTTTCTTTATGGCCCACGGACTTTTTAATTGGGAATGTTGAAGCGACGTCTGGCAAGCTTTCCAAGAGCAGCAAAAACAGAATGAACAGCTGTGAACAAAAGGACGAACGCATAGCTTTTAGTCGCCAAATACCAAATTATAAACTATCAAAAATACTAAAATACCAACAAAAAATACTAGTTTACCTTTGCATACCTGTGTTTAGCGATTATTGTTGAACGTTACCGATTAATGTGGTCACACTTAAAATATTTTCTTGGCATTTAATTTAAAAACAATTAATCAATGGTATTGTTGAGTGTTTTCATTTTGAAATCTTTGATGAGCTCATAGCCCCATGCACTCATGGCCCTTTTACAGGTCGCTTGAATATTCATAATTTCCTTGGCTGACAATAAATGCTGCCACTGAAATGTCGGTTCCAAGGATATATCAATATTTCTTTTAAATTTAATGTCCAATATGCCGTCATTTGGCTTCAGTATTTCCTTAACTGGCTTGCTTGGTATACCGTAGAAATCAAAAATCGATGCTAAGCCCTGATTGGGATTCTTCATCAATTCCTCATAACGGATTATTCTAAATTTAAAAAAAGGTCTCTGAAAATATTATATTTACTTAAAGTGATGTATAACAGACCCGAAACGTTGCGGATATTCTTTTAATAATATCTGAGCGGCTTCATAATCATCGGCCATATTTTCACAGAGATCATCCGGCTGAAGGCAGCCCGGGGTTTTACACCATGGACGATTGGCCCGCAATCCCATTATAGCACGAGGATCTCGAAGCAGGAGTAGCATTCGAACATTTAGACTACGAGGTACAAATTGAGTAAGGGTATTTTATTTAATACAGTGGTCGCTCGCCAATATATATATATTTTATTGTATTCAACGTTCTATGCTATATTTAAATGTGTTCAAATACATACTAAAATAACAAAAATAAATGCTTCTCAATAACAATAACTAATAATAACTAATTTCCAATCGACCACTGCAATACTACCAATTAATTAGTTACTTACTCTTGTTGGTTTAGCAATGCCCTTAAATTCCGAAGACTCAAGTTATACACCGACATGTTTAGAAATGGGAAAATCCTGCAAATCTTAGCCAAAGTTTCCGGATCCGAGCACACCTCCGGACTATACATTAAACACGTCTTCCACTGCATCCCATAGAAATTTCGAAACGTTGGCGTGTTCATGCCCAAGTTCAGCATAGACTGCGACCGACTGTAATCGCAGTTGAGGAGCGCCTTCAGCTCGTCCAGAGCCTGCTCAATCTGGGGTTTTTTTGTTAAACGACGCCTGTATGCAATTAGAGGCGAAAAGTGATGATAACAGCCCGGCACGTGGGTCAAGGACTCCAGCAGACTAATTGCCCCCGAACCCTTGAATGTAACCAATATCGAGCGCTTCGGTTGTCCACCGGCCTCCAGCGTATTGGCCGTCAGATTGCCCAGATGATTGATCTGTTGAGCGAGTATTGTTCGCGACATGGTCAGCGGATCGGGCAAGAGTATGGGCAATATAAAGAAAACAAAAAGCGCATATGTCAAATAAATGGCAATGCAAATGCCAGAGAATTTTGTGCTACTCTCAACCATATTGCCCAAAAATATCGCTTATAAAGAAGACTTTTTCTGTTTTAATGTACTACAAATTTTGTTGAATATTTTGAAAAATTCAAAGAATAAGTAAATCTACTTACTAAAGGCTACTATATATGTAGTAACTTAAAATATATTGATGTTTTTATGTTAAAACAAAATGCAATTTGCTCAAAAATAATATCTGCAATTTGAAGATTTGTGCAACATTTTACCACGAATTGAAAGACGTCGATTTGATGTTATAATATGCATATTATTTGTATTTCTGCAGTATTTTATCATAATGCAGTAAGTTATTATAAAAACACTAATATTGCTATAAATTAATACGTTATACAGTTAATATAATTACAAAATATTAAGATATACTCTAAATTGTGAACTTTTGCTGAATTAAATATAAATAAAGACTAGAAAGACGCCTACAAAATTGAACAAATATGGAAGAAAAAAATTTACACATTTTTAATCCACTTCCCTCAGAAAATACAAACATAGTCAGCAAAAGTTCGCAAATATTTAAGAGCACATCGAAATCGTTTATAAAGTCAATCTTAAATTTTAATATTTCATGTTTTCCTGGCCCAATATTTATCGTAAAACTGTAGCCTTTCCTACGGCCAACAAATATATTTATGTATATTTCATATGTATGCAACAGTTTAGGCTGTCGATTGGTTATTGGCAATGAATGCAGGTGCAGGACCATAAGGGCAAGATAAGTGATATTTTCACATTAGTAGAAAAGTTATTAAAATGGAGTCATGAAAATATTCATACTTTCACAGAGGGACAGGAAACTCATTTTATTCTGGTATAAAATCGGTTTTTGGGTTGTGTGTTTAGTAAGTAAATTTTTTTTTTTTTTTTTGTATAAGCACAATACAAAAGTTGAGGAGATCTGAATATTGGGTATAGTAAATGGAATACGCACTAAACCCTAAAATGCTGTGAAATGTTTTCGAAGTTTTAGCTTGAGTTATGGCACTAGGCATACAATGAATAGAGGCGCTAATTCGAGGAAAAAAGTCAGACGTAACCGACTCCAAAATACTCTCGATACCAGTAAAATAACATCTAAAAACAAGTGGAACAAATGCTCTTTACGGGGGTGTATAACTTAGGGATTCTCGGGCATTTTTTAATCAATCTTTACCAGTAATTTTCATTTCAAAATTAACATTTTTGACTCTAGTTTAAAGACTTTGTAATACAAACTGTGTAATTCTAATGAATATCCTTGAAAAGTGTAATTTTTTAATTTCCACTAAGTTGTATGCTATGCTTTTTTACGCTGATTAGAATAGATGGATTATGTTGAAGTTAAAAAATCTATTCAACATTTTCGGGTCACATTATAATTATTATTATTATGATTTCTATTTACTGAACCCATTAAAATTCTGGTAAAAAGATTAAACGGGTTTTGTGCAAAAGTATGTAACAGAGAGAAGAAGGCATCTACGACCCCATTAAGTATATATATTCTTGATCAGAATCAGCAGCCGAGTCGATATAGCCATGTCCGTCTGTACATCCGTTTGTCTTCAGACATATAGGAGCTACAGACTTAGACAGAACACGTTTGCTTAATTTTATCGAAAACTGCATCCGTTTCTCAATTATCGATACATTTATCGATTTCCGATTGCAACAAAAGCCACAATTTTAAAGGACAACTTTTGAAGGGAAACTTGGCTGGGTACAGGGTATATCGTAGTCGAGTTCACTCAACTACTGCATTCGCACTGGATTTCTATGAAAATAATACAGAATATTTCAATTTTAAAAGGTCTTTTAAACTGCTTTCAAACCTGAACTTCCAGTATAATGCACAAACCTGGCTCATTATTCATATCATATATCATATCCCAGGATGAAGTTTCAAAGGCCAAGTGAGTGTGGCAAATTGCGGCCTCGAAACGATATTAAACTAAATTAGAATTAGATTTAGAATTTAAATTAATACTTAACAGTAAATAGAATACTAAAAGCGAATGTTTGTTTGCACGAAACTTCTACGTTTAGATCAATCGCTGTTTCCCTCAGTTTCATCGTCGAGCAGCAAACTTGTCGAGCCATAGCTACGGAGTCTGTAAAAGATATTTAAAAATCAGTCTAGGAAAACAGTAGATGCAATCACAAAAAATAAGAAATAAACACCAAATAATAATTAGAGCAGCTAAGGAAAGTTAGTTAGGATAGTTCTCACCTCATCGTCGGATACCTTGAGACCATCTAAATTAATACTATTCCGTGCATAGCCCGAATGTGGCTGTGGCTCTTTGTCATGCGTCTCGTACAGCTGCCTATTGATATCATCCTTATTGGATGTGGATGTGGATGTGGTGCCACTATTAGTCATGCATTTGAGTGGCAAGGCGAGATTTGCGCGATTGCCACCTGTGCTGGTGTTGCTGTTGCTGTTGCTGCCGGAGCTGTTGTAGCGTCCCGCTGCCGACGAGCGTTGTTGCCTCGCCTGATGGTGCTGATGATGATGATGATGCTGTCCATGTGGATTATCGAACTTTTGTTTGGCCCGCTCGAATTCCAAATTCCTGGATTTCGCCTCAAAAATGTTCTCCTCGAAATGCGATTGTTTGGCATCGTAGAAAGCGGCTGCCGCTGCTGCCGCCGCTGTTGCAGCTGCCGCTGTTGCCGCTGCGTTACTCTGTTGCTGCTGCAACAGCGTCCGTTCCGTGTGGCTGGAACGCTTAACAGCAGCGGCATGATGCACCATTGCCGCATCGCAGCCATTGTGCGAGTTGCGCAAACCCGCCTGTGTATCATCGAAAATCTGCCGCAAATCGTTGATATTCGGCAGACAATCGCTGGGCAGCTCAACTGCAATTTTGTTGCGCAACTGAACGCCGCCGATTCCCCGCAGCTGCGGACTTGGAGCGCGTCTTATGTGTTTTTTGTCGGTTGTTTGTTTTTAGTAGATTTTGTTAGTTGTGTTGGGTTATTCAAGCAAAAGCCGTCACCGCGATATGTTAGTGTTAGGAGTTGGTTAAAGTGAACTGATCCGATTACTCACCTGTTCTGTAAATGTTGTATCTGCACCTGCAGACCCTCAGTTTGGCCAACCAGCTCATCGTTGCTGCGCTGCAGACGTCGCACCTGGTTAACGGCCGAGTCCAGTTCATCCTCGGCTCCGGCCAATTCACGTTTCAGCTCTTCAACGCGCTGTCGCAAGCGTTTTACCTGCATTACAATAAGAATAATAATTATACAAAATTGTAAGATACTTAAAAACTACGGTTCAAAAGATTGTCTGATTTCAAACATGGGAAAAAAACAAACTCCAAGACAGAATTAACATACAAATGCAATAATCAACAGCATGTTTTATATCTAAAGACCTGACGGAGATCATAAATGAGGACCCAAACGAACAATAAACAATTTGTATTACTCCGAAGTATGCCAAAGACGTACACATATTCAAAATCAGATAATTTGGAACACGCGTAGATGATAATAAATATATTCAGTTTTTGATTTGCCGGCATATTCCTGAAAGATGTGACCGTGCAAACATACGATAGAAATCCAACGCAACAAAAATACTTCTACAGTTCACGAGGAATTAATTAGTGCACTAATTAATGTCATGTCATCTGTATTTAAAATGGATCTCTGCCCGATGCTTTCGATTTAATGATTGTTGTAATTAATCATTAAATCTAAAGAGCCACACAATGAGATCGCTTACTAAGCAACGAATTGCTACTTATCAAACACACAAACACTTTTGATTTCCCCCACTATCAGTGTTATTAAATCATAATATTACGATGCGAAGGCGATTATGGCAAAAACCCGCAGCTATAAAAACAACAAACTCGCGCAAAACAGCATAAGAGAGTAAAAAGAGAGACACTTGCAAATCTCCGCCGATAGCAACAAATGACACCCAAAAGCTTTAGCATAAGAGAGTAAAATGAAAGAGAGTGTGTACAATTAAACAGTTGCGAATTCCCGCCTATAGCAACCAATGACAGCGAAAAGCTTTCGTCGACGTCCAGCTATTTTCAGTCTCTCCTCGTTAATCGAAGGCGTGAGTTTGGCGTGCGTTAAAAGCAAAAACAACAACAAAGGAGAAAAACAAAATGATTGCGCAAAGTGTAATCGCGAAACTGCGTCCCTGTGCCCGTCGCCTGGCGACTGGCACCAAAGCGATTAGCACTGCGCCCAAATTCAACTGGCAGGATCCTCTCAATCTGGAGAGCCAGCTAACGGAAGAGGAGGTGTCGATACGCGACGCCTTTCGCGGCTACTGCCAATCGCAGCTGATGCCGCGCGTCATTGCCGCCAATCGCTTGGAGCAGTTCGATAAGAAGATCATGGAGGAGATAGGCAGCCTGGGCGTTCTCGGCTGCACACTGCAGGGCTATGGATGCGCTGGCGTCTCCAATGTTGCCTACGGTCTGCTGACCCGCGAAGTGGAACGCATCGATTCAGCCTACCGATCAGCCGTCAGCGTGCAAAGCTCCCTGGCCATGGGCGCCATTTACGATTATGGAACCGATCAGCAGAAGCAGAAATATTTGCCCAGCATGGCGCAGGGCAAACTAATAGGTGAGATGAGTTGCCAAAAAAGAAAATAATCTATATTGTGCAGCATTTCTCAGCAGCACCATAGCGTTCACCTGTATCTCAGATTCTTAAAAATAATTTACAGATTTTGTCCGTTTATCAGCTAGCAAAGTGATAAGATTGAGATTAAACTTGGCTGCCTTTAGCAACAAAACACACTGATGTAAACATATCACATAGTGGAAAAATGCGAAGCCGAAGAAATTAAAAGTAAATCGACAGCAGAGCTTTGAAAAAGCTCGCTCTCAACTTGGGTGTTTATTAGTGTGTGTATGTGCGTGTTTGATAAGTGAGCGAAAATCGAAACAAAACAGCTGTTGCATTCATGGCGAAGTTAAAATACTCTTGCTAATATTAACATTACATATTTTAACAGCTTTCAAAAAATTTAATGTTGTCAAGCAGCAAAAATAACAAAGAGTTTACATATTTATCACTGTTACTGTCTCTCCCTCTCTCGCAAATATTAACAGTATAAAGGATTACAATTAATGAATAGACAATTTTGACAGCTTATAAAAAAATTCGATGTTATCAAGCAGTAAAAATAACAGAGATTATTAGGTATTTAACAAGAATGCAGAAGTCGAGTGAGCTCGACTACGATATGCCCTGAACCCAAGCTGTTACATGTATTCTAGTTTTATTTCTCCATTTCGCTTTAAAAGTTCCGCACCCAAATGTAAGCAGCAAAATATCTAAATGTATCGATATTTGAGAAAAGGAAGCAGTTATCGATAAAAGAGAACTTATATCCAAAATTTAACTAGCATTTAGAATCTCCGAGATCCGCGTGTTCCCTTTTTATCCATTTTCAATGGGTTCAGGGTATAAGAAAGTTAAAAACCACGACTTAGGTGCTAATATAAAAAGGAAATGATAAATACGTATTACTAATACAAAATCATTGTTTGAAATTGTTACAAACTAACTAATTGAACTAATATCCAATTTACTTTTTAATTTCATTTCTAGGTGCATTTGGATTAACCGAACCTAATCATGGCAGCGATCCGGCCGGCATGGAGACTCGTGCCAAATACGACAGCAAAACGAAGACATACATTTTGAATGGATCGAAGACTTGGATAACGAGTGCACCCATTGCCGACGTGATTGTCGTGTGGGCCAAGGGCGAGGATGGCAAAGTGCGTGGATTTATTGTGGACCGCCAAATGTCCAGTAAGGGCCTAGCCACGCCCAAAATTGAGGGTAAATTCTCGCTGCGTGCATCACCCACGGGCATGATCCACATGGACGATGTGCATGTGCCCGAAGAGAATCTGCTGCCAAATGCGCTGGGCTTCAGCGGTCCGTTCAACTGCCTGAACAATGCACGCTATGGCATTGCCTGGGGCGCCTTGGGTGCCGCCGAGGCCTGTGTGGAAACGGCGCGTCAATATACGCTGGATCGTAAGCAATTCGGACGACCACTGGCCGCCAATCAGCTGATACAAAAGAAGCTGGCGGATGCGATCACAGAGATAGCGTTGGGCATGCAAGCGTGCTTGCACGTGGGCCGACTCAAGGATCAGAAACTGCACACGCCGGAAATGATCTCGCTGCTGAAGCGAAACAATGCCGGCAAAGCGCTGGACATTGCCCGCCAGATGAGGGATATGCTGGGCGGCAATGGCATCAGCGATGAGTACCATGTCATCAGGCATGTCATGAATCTGGAATCGGTCAACACCTACGAGGGCACTCATGACATTCATGCCCTGATCCTGGGACGTGCCATTACCGGTCTGGCTGCATTTGCCAATTAATTTGTTATTTGTTGTTTTGTTGATTCTGTCATCGCTGGCATTTATGCATAATTTGCACTTTATAATTTTAGCTAGACAAAACTGATTCGTTTTTAAGCAAGAATGTTAAATACTTTCTAGTAAATTAAATGGCGGTTTATATACGAAAATTTAGTCTATGCAGTGTTAAACATATTTCAATAAGCTCGAAATTGTTTTCATTTTTATTAAACGCAGCTAAAATCAGTTATAAACTGAACAATCAGCATGGATAATGTGGCCTGCAGCTAACGCATAAAATATTTGATTCAGATAAGAAAATCCCCCTGACAGTATGGTACTTTTTAAAAATTCTATTCCTCAAATACCAATCCAAATATTTATAATAACAAGCATATTAATTAATAGTCAATTCAGCTTACCTCTGCCTCATATTGCTCCGCACGTCGCACCGCATGGCCGAGCTCCGTGTTGGTCTCGGCCAGCAACTTTTTGAGCTTGGCATGGGACATCTTGACCTCGCTGATCTCCTTGTTGCGCTCCGACAGCTCCTGTTGCAGCGCCCGCAGCTCCACATCGTTGGCCTGCATCGGCCGACATTTGCGGTCCGAACGCTCCTGATAGTCACGCAGCTCGGCACGCAACTTCTTGTTATCCCGCTCAAGAGCTAACTTCTCAGATTCTAAACGCTCGCGTTTACCCCATTCCGAAGCGTTTTCGGCTTGCAAATGCTCCAGCTCTGTGCGCAGCTCACTGAGCCTAAAATTACCATGTTATTTATTTATAAATATATATATATATATATATATATATATGTAAGCCATACCGACGCTCCAGATTTTCGCGTGCTGCTATTTCCTCCTGCAGCGAGTTGTTCACAATGCGCATCTCAGCGCGATGTTGTTCCTGGTTGAGAGTAAATGTTTGCTTATAATATATGCAGGATTGAAATCAAGCGATCTTGGTTTGCTGTGACTCACCTGTAATGTTAGAAGTTCGCGCACCGCTTCCTGCTTGGCAGAACGCAACTCCTCCTGGCGTCCACGCACATCCTGCAGCTCAAGCGCCAGCTTCTCAATACTCTTGTGCAGCTCGTGCTTTTCACTGCAGATACAGATTTTCAATTTAAATCAAATTAATAATGTGAAATTCAAAATTCAAAAAAATAGGAAGTATAAAACTCTATTTGAAAGACCTCCTCTACGAGGAGAAGTCCTAAATCTTAAATACAATTCCGTAACTAAGCCGTACACAACTTAAATAATCAATTTTTGTTTGGTAAAATAGAATACTCGATTTTCATTCAATCTTAATTCTTGCAATCAGGTAAAATATAAAAATTCCGCTAAAGATTTCTGTATTCTGCGAAACTTTTTTTTCGGTATTCGATTATATATTCTTGATTAGAATCAATAGCCAAGTCGATTTAGCCATCTTTTCGGGACAACTAATATCAATTTCGGGATTGGGTTATTTTCTATTTAGATTCTTGTTGATAAACGAAAACTTATATTCCAAAAAAGGCAATACAACCCGAAACAGTTGATTCTGATCAAATATATACGAGTATATGTCCAAGAGCTTATACAAGTTTATATATAATTATTACCCACTTTAAACAAATTTGATGCTAAATAATATAGCAGGTATCTCCGCTGAACCATTAAACATATAGTAAAAATTATTGCATATTGCACACAGGCATACAATTATTTGTAGGCATTGCCTTGACTCACTCTCGCTCTGCCTGTAGGGTTTTTTGTGCCTCATCCAAACGCAGCTGCAGCATGGATATCTTTTGCAGCAAATAGTCCTCGTCGAAGTCATCCTTCGATAGCTGTTGTATTAGGCGCTTCTCCTCGGCGGCAGCAGCCTCATCCAAATCGGTCAAGTGCTTGGGCATGGCGCCCTTAAGTGCAAACTCCTCAATGTCCAGATCCTTGACATCGCTGGGCAGCTTGGTGACCAAGCCATCCTCACTGTTCACATTTTTCAAGCCATCCGATGAGATATCCGGCGAGCAATTGGCATCCCGCCCATTGGCTTCGGCATCCTCATTGGTATCGGCACGATGGAATTGCCCGGCGTGTTTCATCATCAGCGTGTGCACCTTTTCCATTTCCTTCTTCAGCTGCGTTATCTGCAGCTCCAGATCATTTTTCTCACGCTTCAGCGAATATGCCTCCTTCATGGCGACGTCCAGTTTGATATTCAACTGTTTGGATTCCTCGCGAGCCTTGTTACGCTCGTTGCGCACCTGTAAAATGCAGTTTGTGTGATTAAACAAACTACAAATATTGATTCAACGGATGCCATAGCAACTAAAGTTGAACAAAGTTAAGAGTTGCATTTGTATTAAGTAATCATACGTGGCATAGGAATTTCGAGGAATAATGGAATACAAAAAGAATTGAATTGAATAAAAGGGATATTTTTGAATATTAAAGTTACAAATAATTATAGATCCCTACATGGTTACGATTTTTACAAATAGAATAACCCAAAACTAAGCAAGTGCTAACTGATGAAAATGTTTCGAATCCCGATTGAATTTCGCAACATCAAATGTGGAATGCAACATAAGCCTTACATAAATTATTAATTTGAATTTTCAGCAATTTAAGAAAACTTTCTTTTGGTTTGTGCCCCTCAATCAAATCGGAATTTGAGAAGTTTGTGATTTCCTTTCTTTTTAATTTAATAAAGAAAATTGTATTGAATAAAGTTCAATAAAAAAGGCATAAATCATTTTTAGAAAATTTAATCTTCGACGGATTGATTTAAATTGTTTGTTTCACTGATTAACGTTGTGTGAACCGACGGGCAAAACATGATTAGACCTGGACTGAGACGGAATATGTTGTGTATTAATAAATATACCTATAAACGGCATATGCTATACATATATACATACATCTATAAATTTATCTGAGACAGCAGACTCACCTTACTCCACTTCTCGCGCCAGTTGGCGGTGCAATCGGACCTGCAACAGGATAAAATAATTTAATATCGCTTACAATATTGTACAGCTATCGTTACGTGTTTTGTCAAAGTTTTATAAACTGAAATAAAGCGAGAAAAAAAACAATAGGCAGACGTGCAAACAAGTCGGTCGATCGATTAATATTGTTCACACATCGCATCGCTCCTTTAACAAAAATGGCAAATTTCAATGACAACGCAGCGAATGCGGAGACCGAAGCAAATCGCTGGGCTAAGTTTGGAATGCGCCTGGCTGTCAGCGCTGCACTGCATCCATTTGAATACTCAAAAACGTTAATACAGATTGGCTACGAACCGATTGGCGCCAGACCCGGCAAATCGATGATGGGCAGACCCATTATGTGGCTGCCCAACATTTGCCAGTACGCTGGTCACATCAAAAATGTGGATGGTTTTTATGGTTGCTATCGCGGCCTGGCACCCAAATTGGTTGGCTCCGTGATGAGCATGGTTGTGAGCGAGTGCGTTGCCCAGAAGCTGGGACTTTCGCAACAGGAGGACAAGGACGAATCCGAGCTGACCGAGGAAGAGAACTATTTGCAATTCAAGTACAATCTGAAACGCGACATTGTGCTGACGGTGAGCGGAATTGTTGTCTCGCATCCGTTCCATGTGATGTCGTTGCGCATGATGGCCCAGTTTGTGGGCCGTGAGAGGCTCTACAATTCAATGCTGGGCTCCATTGTCGAAATCTGGAAGACCGAAGGCATTTCAGGCTTCTTTTCTGGCCTGATCCCCAAACTGCTGTGCGATGTGACCTGTTTGGTGCTATCGAGCTCCACGGTTTTCATACTGAACAAATACCTCATCAAGGATAAGGTGACCCGGCAATATAATGCTGGCTTCGCTCAGTTCGCCTTCTCGAGCATACTGTATCCACTGCAAGTGGTATCCACATGCTCCTCAATTAGCGGCGCACGCCTGATGGCCGGCCAGCCGCCAATAATGCCGCGATACAAAAATTGGGTTGACTGTTGGAATGATTTGCAATCGCGTCGAGTACTCAAACGCGGCAGCTCGCTCTTCTGGCGCTCTCAAGACATCCAGTCGCCCATAATTACCACATCAGCCTTTGCCCCACCACATTTGTCCCGCTATCAATAAACGAGTTGTTCATAAAGACGCGATAAACGGCTAGGATCCTAATATATCTATATATATAATGATAATAGTCGGAAACACGCCCACCGAGAGACGCGTCTGCCTGCAATTTTAATTAGATGATGATTTGCTCGACGAGCGCGGACTCCCTAAGACATAACTATTATTGGCCAGCGTTATTGTAAATCAATATGTTAAAGTGATCGCTTAAATTATGATTATCGATCGAGTAATAACCAATTCATTGCATTGCATTGTATAATTTTAAAAATGTTTATTTTTTTGGCATGGATGAGGCTTTCAATAAACTAACATTTAGCCAGCCGCGACTACTTTTTTCTTATACACCTCACTTCAAATGAGAACAATTTAAGGTACAAATTAAATACGTTATGCGCATAAGGAACAATATAGAAACACTCATTTTCCTCTTCCTTCCTTGGATTACTTACCACCACTTCATGGTTTTTTCCATCTGGGCAGCTCTGGCGCGCGCTTCATGCAACTCCCGCTGGCGCTGAGACTGTTGCAGCATTAATTATTATTCGTATGCGAATTGTGTTTAGTTTCAAGCTCACCTCGCGTGCCTCCCATTCGGTTTCGCCATATCCAACTCCGCCGACACCCACGCAAACGGCAGCATCGCTGTTGGGCAACCGCCTGCTTACCGATTGGGCGGTAACTGCACTTTGTGCCGTTGACGACGTCACTTGTGACATTTCGTTGCTTTTTATGCACGTATTTATTTTCAATGTATATTTATTTGGATTTCTGCGTTTAACTGAATTGCATTTTGCCTATGCACTTTTTGATAAAGTTGTATACAGAAAATATAGAAAACAGCTGTTCGTGCAGTGTGGCCAGACAACGCCAAGGTTATGTTATATATTTTTGAAGACAGTATTTTTTGTAGAAACTAGTGGATTTTTAGTTTACCCGGCTGACGTCCATACTGAAGTAAACATTTGGAAAAACAATTCTCAAAATAAGCGCAGATTAAAGATTCATTATAAATTAAAACTATTTCATCATGGCAAAGCATCATCCCGATTTGATTTTCTGCCGCAAACAGCCTGGTGTTGGTAAGTGCCGCAGTGAGCAGTTATTTTATATAGAGTTCGATTGCAAATATTTGTTTATTTTTCACGTGCAGCCATTGGCCGGCTGTGCGAAAAGGATGATGGAAAATGTGTGATTTGTGACTCGTACGTGCGTCCGTGCACTTTGGTGCGCATCTGTGATGAGTGCAATTATGGTTCGTATCAGGGACGCTGCGTTATTTGCGGCGGTCCCGGCGTCTCCGATGCATACTACTGCAAATCCTGCACAATACAGGAAAAGGATGTAAGTTGCAACTGAGAATTTAGATAGCAATATTCAATTTTAGGTATTAATATTAATTATTATTTATTTGACATGCAGCGAGACGGTTGTCCCAAGATTGTCAATTTGGGCAGTTCGAAAACAGATTTGTTCTATGAGCGCAAAAAATATGGCTTCAAACAGAAGTGAGTAAGACTTAAGCGGCTTTGTAATACTCTGATCCCAGTTGAAAGCAGGCGATTATTTTGGGAATATTTGTTCACCTGTGATCTCATTTTCCATTTTGCTAAAAACATATATTATTTAAATCTGTAATGACTAGCTTTTAAAGACTACACAAATCAATTTACACTTCACTTCGGGATCAGATTGCAAAAACTTCAAGATGGTATTATTGATCTTATAATAATAATATATTTATTCCTTTTCCATTCGCAGCTATTAGAAGAATGAAAGACTACCTCAGGTGTAATGCTAATAAATTTGTATTTGTAATTTAATGCATATTCACATAAAGTTTTATTCATGGAAATTAATGTTTTGGAATTGAATGTATTTAAATTTATACTGCCAACAGTTGCTCGCTGCTCGGCTCGTATTCCAGGCAGAGCCTATCGAATTCTGCGGATTTCTTGTCCAGATCGGTGATAAAGTCACTTTTCGGATAGAATTGCCGGAGTTGTTCCCAGTAGCGTGTAATCGTCTCCGTTGATTTGCCCGTGAGGTGCGAGAGGACCATCATATTGATTAGGGTGTCGTAATCATTGTGCTTCTTGGTCAACGATTCGCGCAGTACAGCTTCGGCCTCCTCGTAACGCTCCAAGCCCAAATGGACGACGGCCTGACCATTGAGCAAAGCCGGCGTTGGCTTGAACTTCTCGCAGAACTCCTGATAGATGTGAAAGGCGTCTTGCATCTGTTCGGTGCCCTGGGCCAAGGCGACCCATGCCTGCGCCAACTGAGTGAGCGTGGCATCATCACTAATCTCCTGCATCTTGGCCACCAGCTGCTTGGCCAGATCGACGCGTTGCAAACGCAACAAGCACTGCACGGACAACGCCATCGATTCCAAATTATTCGAACCATGCAGTATCTTCAGGGCATTCTCAAACTGGCCATCGTAACAGTAGACAATGGCGGTGGCAATGTGCCAAATGTTTGTCTCGTCCTCGTCGCTAGCCACTTTGTCGGTGAGCTTCTCCAGCAGCTCCTCGCACCTCGCTGGCTGCTCGAATGCCTCGTGCACCAGACGCAACGCCAGCAACGGTGTCGTATTGTTCTCCTTTATGTCGGAGGCAATGATCCGGCCCGAATCGATGGCCAAATATGATAAATACATGTAGGAAGCCAGCTCGGCACCTGCTGATCCCTGCTCCGGCAGCACGAAATTAATTGAGCCCATGAAATTGCCAATGTAATACTCATTGCGTGCATCGAATAGCGACGAATTGACATCGTCATCGTTATGCTGGGCACGGCTCATCTTTATTAAATTTGTATATTTATCTGTGACAATATATTCGATGTCTAAATTAGAAGCTGAGTTGGCTTTTTGTTAACAATGCTGCCACCTAGTTGAAAAATGCTACCAGCTGTTTTTGTCAAAATGTGTTTGTAAACAGCTCAATCGTTCTTTAGTTCATATGAACTAATCAGCGATTACAAGTCTGAATCGAAGAATTATTTGATTTCATAAGCTGGTTAATCTGCTTTCGAAACTATTTGAAACGGAGGAGGGTTTTGCAATTGTTAAAAACCGGTTTGTGCTCGCAAATAGTCTTATTTGTAATTACAGCATTGTCGCCGCAACATGTACAATCCTCAGGAGAAAAACATTGATTTAGTAAGGGAATATATTCCCAGTTACAACACAGTGAGATTTCAGGATCAGCCCGATCCCAGGATCGCTATACTTGATAATTTCGATCAGTTGACAAAGCAACGTAAGATGATTAAATAAATTAATATATGTATTGCGGTCTGTTTTTCATTGTCTCAAAATACAGATTCCAAAGATCTCATTACTAAATATGGGATCAAAGTTCATAATTTGCGCTATGGCGGTTCAGATGATCTGCAGGTGGTCGATGTATTTTTTAACGAAAGTGTCTCGGAACCATCGCCGCTCTTTGTCTATGTTCATGGCGGCTACTGGCAAATGTTGGATAAATCGGGATCCTGTTCGATGGTGGCGCCACTGGTTCGTCAGGGCTATCGCGTTGCCGTTATGGACTACAATAAATGTCCAACGGTAACACTTCCACAACTGCTTGAGCAGTTCACCGAATTTCTGCTTTGGACCTTTGATTATGCGGAGCGAACGCAAACTACGCAGATCCACTTTGCCGGCCATTCAGCTGGTGCACACCTCCTGTCGCAATTGCTCCATGTGCCTGCCTTGATTTCGGAGGAGCGACGTAGAAAAGTGGGCGCCCTATTTTTCATGTGCGGTGTTTACGATCTGCGTGAACTGTGGCAACTGGAAGAAGTTAACCCCAACAATATTTTTGGCTTAAATGCTGAAACGGTCAAGGAAGTGTCGCCCATGTTTTGGCCCTGGCAGGCGGATAGCTCATCCTGGTCGAATGTGCAGTTGCACGTGATAGTAGCGGGGCATGAAAGTGTTACGTTTATTGAGCAAAGTCGTATTTTTGCCCGTAAATTGCAAGAGGGCGGATTTAACGCTACATTCAAACTGTTCGATAGCTACGATCATTTCGATATTTTCGAAGAAACTGTCATCGATAACTCACCCATTACTAAATACCTGTTAGATGGACTCAAAAAAGCTCACTAATAGAGTTTGAATATTTGAAATTGTAATTGTAAATAAGATTATACTTTGATACCGAAAGCAATAGAGTACATTGATTTTAAATCCATCCATTCGTCTCCGCCGGAGACTTGATTTGAATTTTGGAATATAAAATTGGGTTTTGGGTCACGCCAATTCAACCGAAAACATTTGCCATCATTTTAAAAGATTTTCAAATTTCTTGGTATCAGAGTAAAACGCAGTCGGATATGTCCGACTACAGCGTTATTTTCGAAATGAAAAAAAAAAAAATTTTAATAATTTGATTAAAATAATGAAAGTAAATTTTAAATATAATCAAAAAAGGTATAGGTTTTTATCTAACTTTTAAACGTTAATTATCGAAATTGTAAAATACAAGATACAAAATGTCAAAAAGTAGATGTTATGTCTTAATTTTAAAACTCCAAATTGTGCAATTTGATATAAAAATAAAGCTATTTAATCAATAAACAAAATGGGTTTATTTTCAATTTTCCATTTATTTCTTATGTTATGTTCGTGTTTTTTGAAAACATACACTTAAGCGTAGTAGTATTTGTATTCCATATGTACACTATCTAAGAGTTTTTGCGCACAAAATTAAAGATGAAGAAGAAGAATACATTGAACACAGCATCCAAAAACGTGCCGCGTAAAACATATTAAATTGAAAGTTAATACATACAAATCGGTCAATGGAGTGTGTGTGTGTGTAGTAAATGAAAGAATTAACAAAGTGTGCGCATAGATGAGATAAATAAATATGTTCTAACTAATAATGAATGAATGAATAAGCTAACATTCTCTCCAATTGATTGTTGAGTAAAGAATAAACATCAATTATGACTCCTCATCCGAAATGACAATTTCCGTGTCAATTAAAATTTGTTGTCGTTGTTGCTTCTTTTGCTGCTGTTGCTGCTGCTGCTCCGCTGGACTACTTTGCTTTCCATTGCTGTTGCTGGGATGGTTTATGGTGGCATTTAGACTAGAAACGGACATGACCTTTAGTATATGGGCGGCAGGTGCATCCTTTAGGCTGCCATTGAACAGCACCTTGCCAGCAACCGTTGCATTCTCCAGATGAACATCATCTTTGTTAGATTTGGGCGCCGCAGCAGCAGTCTTGACTCTCGTTACATTATTAACTATCACAGGAGCAGCTGCGTCAGTGGCAGGTGTCTTTGGTGCTGCTGCATTCGCTTCCGTTTCCGATTCCGCATCGCTCAAATCGCCATTGGCCTTGAAACTGTCCACAAAGGCATCGACATCCTCATCCGATTCTTCATCATCGTCGTCGTCATCCTCATCCTCATCGTCATCGCTGTCGCCTTCCATTTCGCTGTCCAGATCTCGTTTCTCGATCTCGATTTTCAGACCATTGGTCATCACCGTATCGACGGCAGTTTGTGCCTGCTCTTGGGCTACTGCTTGTGCCGCTTGTGCACTGGTGCAGGGCTTATCATCATCGAAGGCATCAGTGGTTTCATCAGTTGCTGCTGCTGCTGTTTCCGCTGACGATTCCGCAGCTGCCACCTGCTGCTGCTGCTGTTGTTGTAGTTTTTCCTTTAAGCGCGCTTCGCGCTGCTCCTCTGTCGTGAGATCCTGTTCGCGCGCAAATCTGTGTGAGAAGTTTAAGGTTTAGCTAGGATTAACTTTCGATTTCAATAGGTTGACTTGCTTTTCCAGGATATCACTAATCTTGGTCTGCTTCTTGTTGTTGTCATTCAGCTTGGCCAGCAGTGAGGAATCCGATGCCGCCGGATCCTTTGAATTGGCCGTAAAATGTGTAACGGTCTCATAGAGATCAGTCCTGCGCCGTGCCTGCAGCAGGCGACCCACCTTGACAAAGGCATCATGAGCTGCGCAACGAATTCAAATTCAAATTCAAATTAATCAATTTATAATAATATAATAAATAAAAGCATTTTAAAATCTCTTCCTACCTATGCGCTTCATTTCGAATGTGGCCAGTCCCAGATTCTTGTCCTTGTTGCAATGCTCGAGCAGCTGCAGCACATCGTGGTAATCGGGAAATTCGTGCATTCGATTGACAAAAGCGGATAGCGTGCGATTGAATTGCGGATATGCCGTGTCCTTAAACAGAATCGGTTGCTTCATCTGGCGATGGGCGCTCTTACTCTCACCGGTTAGATCACAGATTTTCTCGTAGATTTGACAGGCGCGCTTCTTGTAGCGCTCCACCTGCAGATAACTGGAGTCATCATCGTCATTCCAATCGACAGCCGCCTCCTCCAGCACAGCAATACGTTTCGTTATCGTGTACAATGTGCGATTCAGTTTCCGTATACGCTCGTCCGTACGCTTATTGCCCGTTGTTGTGGGTTGGCTGGATGCTGTAACTGCCGGGGCAGCAGCAGCAGCAATCTCAACTGTTTCGTTATGATCTTTCTCCTGCTTCAGATTCGGTTTTTGCTCCTGCTCCTGATCCTGCTTTACTGTTACTGCAGGTGGCTCCTGCTGCGGCTGCTGCTCTGCGTCGGGCAGTTGCACTGCTTTGGCTTTGCGTCGCACTTTGAGCTCCTCGACGACACCCTTGAGATGCACATAGATCATGTCCGGCTCGTTGCGCATGCGCACCATCGTCTGCTCCAGTTGCTTGCGAAAGCCGCGCGAACGCACAAAACTCTCGTGCACACTATAATAATATTTCATCAATTTAATCTCAATCAAGCGTTCCATATCCTTCGATTTGTCCAGCTCACGGCATAGTTGCAACAGTGCCGCATATTCCGTGACGAGGGGAGCTACTGTTGTTGTTGTTGTTGCTGCTTCTGCTGTTGCTGCAATCGTTTCGCTTGCCACCTTTTTCTTGGCCTGCTCCGATTCCAGTTTTTCGGTGGGCGGCGTTGTGGGCGGCGATTCGACTAGGACAATTGTGGGCTGCTCCTTTGGCTTCTGTTGCTGCAGCTGCTGCTGTTGCTGCTTCTGTTGTTGTTGCTGCTGCTGTTGTTGGGCGAGATGTCTGCGCCACTCCTCGTCGGATTTCTTCAGCACCGTTATGGGCTGCACACGCTTAGCCAGCGGCTTATTCACTGGCGATATGCTGGCGCCGGGAAACGACATTTTAACAGCTGCCACGGAGGGCGTTGCTGCTGCTGCTGCTGGTGGCGGCGTTGTTGTTGGCGTCAACTGTGGCGTGATGCTCGTCGTCGGCGGCAAATTGAGCAGCAGAGGCTCATTTAATGCTGCAGCGCAATGCGGCGGCGTCGCCAACAAACGCAAAGGGGGCGTGGCGCCCGCTGTTATGGACTGCAGGGGCGTTGTAATGGCAGCTGTCGATGAATGTTGCACACTTCTTTTAGCTATTGCTGTTGCTGTTGTTGCTGCTGTATTTGTTGCGGCCTTCATCTCGTAGGGCAAATGTCGCGCCGCGCTGACCAAAACCGCAGGCTGCGCCGGCTGCTGCTGTTTGCTCAGCATTGGCATTGGAGTCAGCTTGGCCAGCAACGGTGGCTGCTGGCCTGCTCCACTGCTCATTGAATGATGCGCTGGCGGCGGCGGCAACTGCTGCTGCTTCTGTTTATGCAACGTGTGCGTGTTGGGTGCACTGTGCGCCGGTGGCGGAAACTTCTGGCCACCAGTGACCGACGACTTTGGTTGCAACGTTGTCATTTTCTGCAGCGTGGGCAGCAAACGCTGTGGCATCTGCGGCGTCTTCTGTTTAACTGGTAATTTTTGTATTATGGTTTGTGTCTTTTGCTGTTGCATCTGTTGTTGCATCAACATGGGCTTGGCATTTACTAGGGTCGACGTTGGCGGCTTTTGCTGCTGCTGTTGCAGTTGCTTTTGCAGTGGTTGCGTCTTGTGTTGCTGCTGTTGCAACGTGGCCGTTGTTGTCTTCTGCTTGGCCTGTTGCAGTTCATGCAGCTGCAACATTGCCGTCGTCTTCTGCACCGTCGAAATTGAAGTTATTGCCTTCTGCTCGAGTTGTTGCAGCTGCAACATTGCCGTCGTCTTGTGCACCGTTGAAACTGAATTTATTGCCTTCTGTTCGAGTTGTTGCAACTGGAGCATTGCTGTCGTCTTCTGCTGCTCTTGCAGCATTGCCGGCTTTTGCTGCTGCAAAATTGCAACTTTCTGTTGAGTTTGCTTCTGCTTTGCAGGCAATTTTTGTTGTTGTTGATGTTGGTTGGCAGTTGGCTTCTGGTTTCCCACTTTGGACGTAAGCATCTGTGGACTGGGCACACTGGTTATGGTCGCCAGTGTGGTCGTCGTTGCTTTCGGCCACATTGTCACATTTTGCCCAACACTTGCCACTTTAATTGGTTTTGATTTTAAGATATTGTTGTTGTTATTATTATTGTTGTTATTGTCATTGTTGTTGTTCAAGTTGCCGTTGCTGTTGTTGTGCTTTGTGACCGTTATACCGCTGGGAATGTGCATCGGTCTGTAAAATAAATTTGTTATAAATACGTACTCAAACGATATGCAGGGAATTAGTTTAAGCTTATCGAGAATTGCATTTTATGCTCACAAAATACTCAAATTCAGTTTTGGGAAACGGAAACTAGAAAAGTTTATTGAACTAGTTTGAATAATAACTGCCGTTATATTGGAATCACTGGGTTACCTGTAAGTTCCCACTACTGTCCCAGTAACAGTGGTTCCTGTTGTTATTGTTGTTGTTGCAATTGGAGTGGATTTGATCCCAACGGCGGACAATGTTTTTGGGGCGTGCAACAGTTTGGTTGGAATCACTTTTGATGTGGCCATTTTGGTCTGTTCCACTCGCGCCCGCTTCGCATTGGGTGGCCCCTTTAAATTTAAAAGAATTTCAATTAAAAAACGACCTGTTGGCTTTGGTTATTTGAAACTGCATTTAAACAAGAAAAAGAAAATAAAAACAAGAGAAAAAAAACAGAAAAACGAAAACAAACAAAAACTGCTGCAGCTGTGTGAGTGGAAACTGTGTGTAGAGTTTTAAGGCGCGCCGCTAAATGCAGTGTAGAGTTGCAAACAATATGCAGACGAGCCATGTAAACAACAAATTATTGATGAGTAACAGTTATTAATTGCGTCGCAAATTGTACACCAGTGGAACATGAGTACACCAACACACACATATCCACTAATTTCAGTTAGAATATTTAACATTTCCAATTACTCGCTCAAGTGCAGCAATTTCTACGCGCACTGTGGCAACACTGGCCGGATTGAATATGCAAGTGTGCGTGCGTGTTGAGTTGTTGTGAGCGCTGTGTGTGTGTCTGTATGTGTGAGCGACAATAAAAGCAGCGCGAAAGACATTCGTAGTACGAATTTGTAATATACACACACATCACACGCAGACACAGTTAGAAATTCACACACACACGCGCACACACAGCAAACGCACGCCAACACTAATACGCGCACACCAATGCACAAAACCTATTAAAAATACAACTGTACTTTTCTACACCAGCTGAACATAGTTGGCGCTGCTAGTGGCTACTGCCGCTTTTACCTCTTCCTCCGAATCCGAGCTCAAATCCACATATATAACCGATGTCATTGTCGAAAATCACTTTACACTCAATTTTTATTTGATGCGACTCTTTTTGGTTGTTTTTTTTCTTGACATTTGGCCTTAGCGCACGCAACTATTAATGTTGCCAGTTAGTTTTTTTTTTACGCATATATATTACGTCTGTGTCTAATAATTTGTTTCGACTGTGTTTGTATTGTTGCCTTCCGTTTGTTTTCGCAGGCTGAGTTGCTCTGCGTTTTGTAGAGTTCTTTTGCGTACAGTGTTGCCATATATGTTTCAAAACAATGGCAGCACCATACAGTTTTGTTTTTGAATTTAATGCTTTAATCGAATATTGCGATAGCTATCGACTACATATGACTTTTATATAGTATTTGAAAAGTTTTCGCTTAATTTTAATATCAGTGATATTGTGATTAATAAAAGCATAGAAATCGAATAAGTCAAATATATTCATCATATCGATTTCAATATCGATACCGTACCCTCTCTAAAACAGTGCTAAGCAGCGTCAAATAAATGTGCAAATGACACGTCGTGTCTGCTTCGTATATTGTCGTTTGCTCGGCATCGTTCATTCGGTTTTCATCATTTGGAGCGGTCGCTTTGTCCGCTGGAGTGTTCCTAAAAGAGTAGTACAACTTTCTAAATTTCGGGAAGAAAGTGAAGCAATACAAAACAGAAGTTTAGTTCCCTGCCGTACGTTACATTAAGTCAAACACAATGGGAAGTAAGTATAAAATCAAAAACGTCAAATACGATTTGTGTGTGAACGTGCCGGAAAACCGCATACTAAAAATCAGCGGCCGCCTCGGCAACACCCCCCTACTACTTGCTTACGTATACAAAAAAAATCAGATTAACCGTTACTAATTATATTAAGTGCAGTACCAAATAAAAAAGTACTAAGTTATTGCAACAAACATGACTAATATTTTATTTACTTGTCATTCATTAATTTGCAGTCAAATTCCTGGAAGTCATCAAGCCCTTTTGCAGTATACTGCCGGAAATTGCAAAGCCCGAGCGCAAGGTGAGTAAACCCAGATATATATATTGTTAAATATTTATATGAAAAGTTGCTAAAACCTAAGATTTATGCTGTGCTTGTGAAATTTGAGTTTAATGTGTGCATTTCAATGTCGTTTTTGGTACGCTGGGCGCCAGTGTTGCCAGCGCGCACGTTTTTGCTTTCACTTGCCAGCCGAATGCGCCACGCAAACACTTTGTGCTTTCGTAGTAGATGGCACAGAACCAGCAAGTTGAACACAACAAACGAAAAGAAAACAAAAAATGAAATATTTCATTACCCGAAAGGAGAAAATTGTGTTTTAAATGAACATTATTGTATATCTCTTGAGTGAAAAATGTTCGTTTATATTATCAGTTTGATCTGTGATATTTATTCAATTGTGTCTCAAGTTAATGTGTCCAATTCGTATTTTGGTTTTTAGACAAGTTTTCATTCATAAAACGAATAGTTAGAATCAGCTACTACCTTTCTTATCAAAAGCCCAAGTACTTTTTGCAAGCTACTTGTTGCCATACTACTATTTGACACGATATTTGACACAAACAATGCGAAGAAACCGTATGCGACGTGGAAACGTCAAACTTCGGGTCGCACGAAGCAGCAGCTCGCCGCTATGCGACGTCAGCTTCGGGTTATTGTGTTGACGACGCAACGACGACGACAACCATATGATGAGCACAACGATAGGCAAAACTTGATTTAAAACATTTACACGTATTTATACGCACTCGGATTTAGGTCAGAGAATTGCTTTACTTACCTGTCTTCGTCTTCGTCTTCACTAATAAATTCAATTATTATTATTTTTCAATTTTATTTAAAAGAATCAGCAAGTGATTTTACACAAATAAACAACAATTGTGCTTGGCATTAGCTGAATGTTTATTTTTAAATTTGAAAATAAACAACTGTTTGGCAAACTGTGTGTTTACTTTGCCCATATAAAAGATTATTCTATTATTATAATCATTTCTGGCTGCTATACGTTTGAGAAGTTTAAAAACAAAACAATTATTTGATTAAATTTTAAGCTGTCTGTTTACTTATGTTAATTCAGTTAGACTTGCAACAAATAATTATGTTATTATAAAATTCCATCCTTATTTTTATTTAACTTAAAAAGGAATTTAATAAATTTATAATTATATTAAATCTTAAAAGGAAACAATAATTATTTTTTTACTTCGCCTATACGTTTCAATATTTTCATTCAGTTGGACTTAAATAAATATTTCTACTATAAATATTATTGTTTATGTATTTTGTAAATTCTAAATGCGTTTTATTTTTTGTGCTGTTGCAGATTCAATTCAGAGAAAAAGTACTATGGACCGCCATCACGTTGTTCATTTTCCTGGTCTGCTGTCAGATTCCATTGTTCGGCATCATGAGCTCCGATTCGGCGGATCCCTTCTACTGGATACGTGTGATCCTCGCCTCGAATCGTGGCACACTCATGGAGTTGGGCATCTCGCCCATTGTCACATCCGGTCTGATTATGCAGCTGTTGGCTGGCGCCAAGATCATTGAGGTCGGTGATACGCCCAAGGATCGTGCCCTGTTCAATGGCGCTCAGAAACTGTTCGGCATGGTCATCACAATTGGCCAGGCGATCGTCTATGTGATGACCGGCATGTACGGTGATCCCTCAGAGATTGGCGCCGGCGTCTGTCTGTTGATCATCATTCAGCTGTTTGCCGCCGGTCTCATTGTCCTGCTGCTCGACGAACTGCTCCAGAAGGGCTATGGCCTCGGCTCGGGCATCTCGCTGTTCATTGCGACCAACATCTGCGAGACGATCGTGTGGAAGGCCTTCTCACCGACGACGGTGACAACGGGACGCGGCACAGAGTTCGAGGGCGCCGTCATTGCACTGTTCCATTTGATGGCCACACGCAACGATAAGGTGCGTGCTCTGCGCGAGGCGTTCTATCGCCAGAATCTGCCCAATCTGATGAATCTGTTGGCGACCATTCTCGTCTTTGCTGTCGTCATCTATTTCCAAGGCTTCCGCGTCGATTTGCCCATCAAGAGCGCCCGTTATCGTGGCCAGTACAGCAGCTATCCAATCAAGCTGTTCTACACCTCCAACATTCCCATCATTCTGCAATCGGCTCTGGTCTCCAATTTGTATGTCATCTCCCAGATGTTGGCCGTTAAATTCCAAGGCAATTTCCTCATCAATTTGCTGGGTGTTTGGGCCGATGTTGGTGGCGGTGGTCCCGCCCGCTCCTATCCCATTGGCGGGCTGTGCTATTATCTGTCGCCGCCGGAGAGCGTTGGCCACATTCTCACCGATCCTATTCATGCGCTGCTTTACATCGTCTTCATGCTCGGCTCCTGTGCGTTCTTCTCCAAGACATGGATCGATGTCTCGGGCAGCTCAGCCAAGGATGTAAGTGGATCATTATAATTTGCCTAGCTACGCTTCAACTGATCTTTTGTATATCAATAATTTGACAGGTTGCCAAGCAGCTGAAGGAACAGCACATGGTGATGCGCGGTCATCGCGAGAACTCGATGATTCATGAGCTGAATCGTTATATTCCAACGGCCGCGGCATTTGGTGGCCTGTGCATTGGCGCATTGTCCGTTATGGCCGATTTCCTGGGTGCCATCGGCTCCGGCACGGGTATCCTGCTCGCCGTCACGATCATCTATCAATACTTTGAGATTTTCGTTAAGGAACAGTCCGAAATGGGTGGCATGGGCACGCTGCTGTTCTAAGCAGCCAAAAACACCAAAATCAACACAATCACAATAACAGCAGTAAAGAAAATCCTTCATCATACCTTTCTCACATGTCAGCTCGCCACGCCTCCCCGCTCCCGCCCATGGTTTACCAAGAGAAGAAAAAACTACTTCCAAACGATATCGCCTAATTTGAAGGCATTTTTTTTAAGGGGCTTACAATTATTGATTTGTGTTTAATGCGAAAAAGAACATTAGTTTGAATAGTTTTATTAGTTTGTATTCAAAATGTGAGACTTTATTGCTTAAGTTCAATATTTCACCGAATTGATTGAATTTCAACGCAATTAATTATTGTTTTAGCCGAGTGTGTAATATAAAATAATAGAACACGAATGATTACACGTGAAACTATTAAACACGATGAATAATATATGATTACATGAAAAACGAACATTAACCATGCATACAAATTGTCATCATAATAAAACGTAAATTAGATTTTTTTAATTCAACAAGCGCATTTTCTTTATTGCCAGAGATTTTTCAACTTTGCTGAGTCAAGATAAAGATCCTTACGATAGAAATATATATATAAAACGTTGGATGCTGCCACTGAAGCAAATCTGGAAACTATCGATGTAATTGATATGATTTTCTTCCAAAATCGATTTTTTGTTCTCTATATTTTTAGTTAATTTTAAACAAAGAGGAAGAAAAGTGATGTTTAATTTAAATTTTCTTTAAGCATTGCGATAATTTCGATTGTCAACAATCGCAATGCGATAATTGAGCAATCGCCTCTCGTCTCTAGCAAAGCGCAGTATTTGTAATTGTGCACAGTCTGGTCACACTGCGCATAGCCACAAAATGGAAAAGTAATCATAAATAAAAATAGGCAATTTGAGACGGCAGTTTAAAACAGTTTAAACGCAACGCACGCACACCCACTAATGTGCATTTACGAACAGAGCCAAGCAACGTTTACGCTTACGTTTAGTAGCGCTGCAGCGACCAGTGCGAAACAAGCCCAGCAACAAACAACAAACACAACAACAAAACTAAATTCATCATCATCGGCAGCCAATCGAAATCTGGAGTTGAGTTGAGTCCGAGTTGAGCACGAGTTGAGCCCGAGTTGCGTTGCCATGTCAGCTCCACTCATACGAAATGTGCCGTATTTGAAGCAGCAGCTAACGGCCCTGCTGCACAACACATCGCCGGTGATAACGCTCATCTGTCTGGTGACCACCTTTGGCTATCTGCTCTCCTTCTCCGAGAAGGCCGTCCTTCTGCTCAGCGTTACGCCCGGCTCCTTTCTGCCCAATGGCAAATTTTGGATATGGACAGCGTTCACGTTCTGCTTCATCGAGCTGCACTGGTGGGAAGTTATTGTCGATGTGGTCACCGTTGGGCTGTGTGGCAAAATGCTGGAGCCCCTCTGGGGTCAATTCGAAATGTTCAAGTTCTTTGCGCTAAGCAACTTTGGCGTCTCGCTGCTGACGACCCTTTACTATCTGTTCTACTATATAGTCACGAGGAATCCAACAATACTATTTGATGTGCATATCCATGGCTTGGCCGGCTACGTGGCTGGCATCTGTGTAGCAGTGCGGCAAATAATGCCCGATCATCTAATCTTCAAGACACGCTACGGACGCCTGACCAATCGGTGCGTAGGTCTATCTATATTTATTCCTCTAGATTTCCTAGGGAAATATCCAATTGAGTAAATGATGCGACTAGTGTTGATCCTAATCACATTTGAATATTGCCACGCACACATTTTTAATTTCTTGCTCGGATTCATTTCAGCAATGTGCCACTGACGGTGCTCATCCTGGCCATCATTGGCTGGGCCATTGGCATGCTGGATGGCACATATCCGGCTATGTTCGCATCGGGGGCCATTGTCTCCTGGATCTATTTGCGCTTCTATCAGCACCATCCGAACGGGCGTGGCGACAGCTCCGAGAGTTTCACCTTCGTCAGCTTCTTTCCAAATGTGTCGCAGCCGTTTATCAGCATTCTCGTCAATCCCATTTACAATTGTTGTCTGCGTGTGGGCGTGGTCAAAACGCCCACGCCGCTGCGTTCCATTTCGACGGCCAGCTTGACGTCGGTCTCCGTGCAGATGCCCGGAGTGGATCCACATGATATTGAGCGCAGGCGGTGAGTAATGTATATAAATGTTTTGAAATATCCTTTGATGAACATTTGTTTAATTAATCTCGATAAAAATTAATCGACACAAAAAATTACAAAAATTAAAAAATGGTTAAAATTCAATTTAAAATAAAACTTAAAAATAAATATAAATTAAAGTAATAAGAGAATTTTACTAGATTTTTAGCATATTACAGTCTAACTTGCCTAGAGTGAACTTTAATACAATTAATTTGAAACTTTTGTGAATTAATGAATGAATGAATGAAGTAAGATTTATGTAAATAGAAAATAATTATTGTCTGCTCATCTATAGATAAGTTTTATATATCATTTAAATAATATTTATCTATATTTTCCTATAAGTACTCGTTACCTTTTAGTACTGCATATTTTACTAATTTAAATTGTATTATTTTTTAGACAAATCGCGCTCAAAGCTCTCAGCGAGCGACTTAAGGCCACGGACTCCACGCGACATGCTCCGCTGCCGAAATCGTTTCCACAGCAGCCGCATCAGCAACAGCAGCAGCATCAGCAGTCGCAGCACAAGCATCACAGTCACAGCCATGGTGCTGGGCATGGACATAGTCATAGCCATGGGCAGGCACATGGACATGGACACAGTCATGGCAGTCATGCGGCGCAGGCAGCGCAGGCAGCGCAACCAGATTTCGTCAAACCAGACGCACTGCAGCAGCAGCAGCAGGTGCCGATAACGACGGCGCGGTCGGAACCGCGCATGATAAGCACGATGAGCACCATTGCAATACCAATGCCGGCGCCGCCGCCCAAGCAGGAGGTGGCGGATCCAAAGGAGGAAGAGGAGGAGGAGAAGCTGCTGCTGTTGCCGCCGCCAGCTGCGATAAGTCCGCGGAACACGCTCATCGATCTGGATGGGGGAGAGTCAGCCTAGACAGTTTATTACTTTAACATAAATGAATTTGTTTGGATATTTGCAATGATCTGCTAATGATGATTACGATGATTAATATTATTATTATTATTATTATTATGTGTATAACTGCAACAAGTGCGTGCGCTAATTAACTGTATTTACTACTTACTATTCGCTTAAATAATTGCTTGCTCTCCAAGCTATGCCACCAGAAAAGCACCAAACACGAAACCTTCCATCAATATAGGCGCCTCTTGTAGTACCTACATACATACATACATATATATACACACATATATATATATATATATATATACACGCATAATTTCTGTTGTAGTGTTTACCTGTATTGAGAGAGAGAAAAAAACAAAAAACAAACAAACAATTGCTTTATTTAGTTTATAAAATTACTGTAAATATATTTAAAAGCCCGAAAAAAGGTATTTGACTCCTATGCTGCTCATACAATTTCAAATTATCTGCTAGAAACACAGTTGCCGATTTACGCATACATCAATAATTTGAATGATTTACATTTCAACATTTGCAATATTGAGGAATATCGCAAAACTTAATCGCATAAACATCAAAAGTTGATCCGCTACTTTAAAATACCTGCGACAAGTGCATGCGATAGTTATCGCACATCACTAATATCGATTCACCAATTGGATTCGCATTGGGGATATTGACCGTCGTGTGCGCTTTGTATTTGCTAAGGTCTTTTTTTGTTTGTACTGAATGTTTGTCGACACAAACATATGTCGCGCAAAATCAACAACAACCAACACAAGTCACAATAAAATGTTGCCTTAAATACCGACAGATAGCGAGTGGGAAACACACTGTGTACATACGGGTTATTCGCTGCGGATGCATAACGGGCGCTCTTTGGCAGCGATGGGTCTCAACGGCAATTGCAGTGCGCAACAACACAAAAGCAGGCACACAAATGGCCTCCTCCATCCAAATGGTAAGTTCACAATTTTCTGATAACGCCAGGAAAGTTAAAAAAATACAAATCAAGACGAACGATAAGCCAGAAAAAAAGAAGGCATATACATAAACAAATCCCACTTATCGCCACACACACGCATGCACGTCAACATGTTTATGTGTGTATGTATATCTTGTGTGTGTGTGGGTGTGTGTCTATGAATTTTGCAGCTTATTGCCAACGTAAGGCAGGCGACCAGTGTTGCCGATTGACATTTTCCACGTCATAAGTAATACTGAGACGAACGTTTGGCAGCAGAAATATAACTGGAATCGTTTGCTGCAAATATGCAATTGATGAATGATATTTTGTATATTAGCATCTCGGATTTCTGTCGTTGGCAACACTGTTCGCCGCAGCAACAACAGTCACATAAAAACCAAACAAACCGGCCACAATTCAACTTTTGACAATTCTTGAGTGAATTCGAATTATATTCCACTCCTATTTATAGCACAGAAACTAGTTCGCATTGAATGAAACTTGTTTCGTAGCAGGAACTTAAACTGGGAAAACTGGGCTAGCTTGGTCCGCCCTTAATTATTAATAATATGATTCGATTGTATTTGCTTTCGCTTCAGTCAGTGTACTTCATGGTCGATTGAACTCGCAATTGCCACAACTACAGAAAAGTTGCAATGCTCCAATCCCATTGACCAAGCCCCCAAATCGATGTAAATGATTTGTTTAACTAGCTTAAAAATTTACGCCACAAATTGCGGTATTATATATATTATTAATAAAATCATTTTCAGCGCTGCTTTGTCATAAAAGCTATATATTTTTATTTCTGTCTTATGCCAATTTAACCCATGTCCAAAAATGTAGCATGTGATAATTAATAAATTTTTATGCAATCGAAAATAACTCAAAAAACTTGCAAATCCAAAATGATTTCGTGTCTTCTTTCTTTCCCCATTGTATCTTAATTTTACATAAGCGATCGCCGAAAGAAAATAGCGTGATTAATGCGGAATAATAAATAATGATTATATTACGGAATTGTAAATCAATTTAAGCCCGAAACTATTTTAATAATTATTCAATGTAAATATTACAACTAGTTTTCATAGCACTGGCAAAATTAAGTTTCGGCTAAAATATTAGAAGATATCATTAATTGAACTAGTGCATTTGAACAGCTGATCTACTGAGGAATGCATTAGTCTATATATAAATATATTTCTTTCTCATCACTCCAGAGCATTTTGTGTCATTTCTTTAGCACCCTCTGAGCCCAAACCTCTAAGCTTATATATATATATATATATATATATATATATATATATATATATAAATCTCAGAGAAGTATTTCTTGTATTAAAGAAATATTATATTATTTAATATGATGAAATTCATAGGATATTTGCTGTAACTGTTCGATATGCATCTTTCTATTTCTATGAAGACCATGCATGTGTGTGTGTGTACACACATACATATATACGATCAGGCCACTGCAGACATAGATATGTGTCTAAAAGCACGTAAAAAAACCACGCACACACAAACACACACACACAGACACACACACACACACAGCTCGCTTACACACATGCGCTCCTGCCATTCAAGCGGAAGCGTTAATGGCGACGCCAACGTCAGCTCCACATTCGAGAGCAAGAAAAACCGTTGGGGGCTTTGGTTTTTGTGACAAATTTCGCTTTTGATGACACAAAATGATCACGTTTAGCCAATAACTCTATACGATCATCGGTTGCTGAAAAACTTTTCTTGAATTCTACTCGCCATTTATTTGTTAAGAGGTTCTGAGACCTTTCGATTGATGTGCGTTTGTTAATATTTTATTTGATCTTAGAGCCTACACTGCATCTTGGCCCATTTAATGTCATTTGATAGATCTGTTAAGACTTTATTATAATGAATATATGCAAATCTTGGCTTTTGTGAAAAATCCAATAGAGATTGTAAAGTTTTCTTAATTTTATGCAACTCGCATCTATTTCACTGTCCAGCTTAATATGGACTTTAAACAAAGAAATGTGCCAACAAAATTGACTGTATGCTTTTTCAAGCCAGAGACTTAACAAATTTGCTATATTTAATTGTTATAAATTAAAATATTGTATTTTTGACATGATGTTCAACAAATTCACAAGTTACTTGGCTTCACACCTATTTTACTGTGCATACATACATATATATAAAGCTTATATATAAATCTCAGAGAAATATTTCTTGTATTAAAGAAATATTATATTAAATAATATGATGCAATTAATAAGATATTTGCTGTAACTGTTTGAAATGCATCTTTCTATTTCTATGAAGACCATGCATGTGTGTGTGTGTACACACATACATATATACGATCAGGCCACTTCAGACAGAGAATATGTGTCCAAAATCTCGTCATAAAACCACGCACACAAGCACACAGACACGCACACACACAGTCGCATACTCTTGCTCGCTTGCACACATGCGCTCCTGCCATTCAAGCGGCAGCGTTAATGTTACGCCAACGCCGACGGCGACGCCAACGTCAGCTCCACTTTCGAGAGCAAGAAAAACCGTTGAGGGCTTTGGATTGGCGCTCAGTTGCGCATTGGTGACCACGTATAACGGTTCGTGTCGCTGCCAGCTGAGTTTCCGCTCTTGCCATTATCAAATTAGTATTTATCGCTCAGCGCTCAGCAAAACACAAAACAAACACAAAATAAAATAAAATAAAAAAGAAACGACAACAAATTTGAACATTTGTCAGCTAATTGCCACAATTTGCTATTTGCTCTCTGTTTGTGTTGCAACAGCTGTCAGGTTGACTCCGACTCCGATTCCGACTCCAACGATGGAAAATCAGCTAAGAGCGCGACTCGCCCAGGTGAAGCAGGAGCATTTGGTAAAGTTTTGGCCAGAGCTCAATACGGAGCAGCGTGCGTGTCTGGCGCGCGACATCGCGGTGCTCAATTTGGATGAAATCAAGCAATATTTCGATCGTGCCACAATTTCAATGAACGAGAACAGCGTCAAGCTCGATGATCGCCTCCAGCCCATACCCGATGGCAAAATTCTGTCCATTGCTGGCACCACCGAGGACAAACTGAACATGTATCGGGAGGAGGGACTCCAACAGATTGGCAACGGACGTGTCGCTGTGCTGCTCATGGCAGGCGGTCAAGGTGAGTTTTATATATAAATATAAAAGTATGTATATATATGTATATATTTATCAGAGTATTATCTATATATACGATTAGAGCCCAATTGCGCTTTAGCCAAGTTATTTGTCACATTTTGGGGAACTCAATATCGAAAAAAAATATAAAAAACAAGCGTCAATTTCTTTGTCTTATCTGTAATTAATTCTGCTGCAAATGTACAAACTATTGTAATAGTTCTATATATATATATATATATATATATCTATAACGATATATGTATTCTTGTGCTCGCTTTGGCCAATAGGAATCTGCTTGAGAAAACTGACTCAGAACGTTACAAGCACTTTTATCTAGAACCAATATTTACATTCGGAAAGTCATATCTATCATCTATTGTTTTCTAACTGACTCTTATCACATAAATCAATTAAATATAAAGTTTACTATTGTTTTCTAACTGACTCAGTGACAACTGACTGAACTGGTAATAAATGTGGAGCCTAATCGATAGTTAATCTATCTTTAAGCAACAATATTTCTATATGTTAGCATTGGATTTGTGTTACGGTCTTCAACCATTTTAATTTTCGTATGATTTAATTTAGTATAAACATAGAGTGAATAATAATAAAAAACACTCAATACTAGTGGGTTTGGTTTATCACAAAACGACTCATTTTATGACCGATCGTTCCTGTCTGCCTTACAAATATAGTGATATTATATAGTGATTCTGATAAATAGTAAATATTACTGAAGAACAAGTTCGCAGAGAAACAGAAGAACTATATATCGAAGTATATAGTATAGTATACTTTATACTATATAGACTAATTCGCGACAAAATTATAAATGATGTATTGGTCTGTTGTAACCTTCAAGACTGGAGTCTTTCTGGCTTTCATATAGACAGCTTTGTTTCTATTTCTTATATTTCCACAATTTTCAAATTGCGTGACACAATTAACAAATATTCAAGATAGAAATGTGTATTTTTTTCTGTTTTTTTTTTTCGCTTGCTTGATAATGATCTTTTAGATAAGAGAAACTGAGTAAACATATCTTCCAGGCACACGAAAAAGTCTTTATTTATTTCTCGTTGCACTGGCAGACTGTGTATGATGTGAGCTTGAGTTATTTTTAATTATTTATACTCGCAATTGCCTTGAGATGCAATAAGGAAAGAGAAAACAACTTTAGCAATAACTCTCCTAACCCCCCTCCAAACCGCTCCCTCTCTTTGCAATTGTATCTGTGTGTGTGTGTTTGTGTGTGGTTAAAGAGCTTATTAGCTTTGGTATAAAAGTGCTCCATCAAACGCAGACACACACACACACACATATGCAAGTGAAGTACATGTAAAGCTCTCACACACACACACACACATAGGCTGCGCACTCATTGTTGTTTGTAACTCAGGGCGCAAGACACGGCATGCAATAACAATTTAAGCCATTCTTGTCGCTACTCGGTTTCAGTCGCACTCTTTGCGTCTCTGTCTGTCTGTCTCTTTTTGTCGCCTTTCATTTTTTTGATCGCTGCGCGCAGCATTTGACATTTCCCGTTTGTTTGTGTTTTTTTTTCTTTCTTTTTCAAACATTACTCACAGCACATACTAAAGTAAACGTTTGTCATATGTAAGTATGTGCGTAACGTACACACTCATTACGTATTTCGCACACGTAACGTAAACGAAGACTGGCTTAAGTTGTGGGTAGCGGCTGCTGCTGCTGCTGTTGTAAAGTTTTTGGCTTTCTGTTATCGATAACCCAATGTTAAGTGTTCTTTTAGCGCTGCTGACGTAAAACACTTTGAACAAGTTATTATTTTTATTTTAAAACCGGTAGTATGCATGTAGTTTGTGACCTTATGACGGGTTTGTATGTTAAACAGCTACAAGAGTGGCAACAACAAGAAGAAGAAAGAAATGTATATAAGTAATACAAGCTTTAAAGGTCAACCGGCTGGTGGGAACACAATAAATGCCGCTAGCAATACAAAATATTTGAAATGTTGGCAGAACTTGTCACTTCAGCTAAAACAGATATTTAATTTTCGATTGTTATGTTATGGAAATACTGGCATTTCTGACACATAAAATCAGCTGCACGAAATGAGGAAGTCGAAATTTAAATATAGGGTAAGTTGTTCTTTGGAAATTGGCCTTAGCAAAATATGGCCAATATCAGTAAATGAACAGCATTGTGCAATAAATTTGGCAATATCAGATTGGCTCAATTATGTTTGCTGATTAATAGCACTGCAATAAAAAAAACTAATCATTTGAATTGACAGCTGAGATTTCGGCAGCCGTTTAAGATATTCAATATTAGATTAAAAGCTACAAATTCAAATTAATAGTAATTCACACTCAAAAAAATAAAAATAATAATAAAAATAAATAAATAAAACTAATTCCTAATTACTCAAAAATTGGTAATTGGTAATATTGGTGCATGCTTAGAAAATAATATAAATTATTATTACTCAGAAAGTATACTTCTTAAAACCAGTGTTTTTCTTCACTTAATTTCAGCGTACAATTTTCTAAAATTTAGGAAAAATAATTTCCAGCTTTCTTTATTTTAGTTTTTTACTTTGACTTATTTTTATTATTTATTATTATATATATTGTTATTAATTTGTAGTACACAAACATTTTATTTAAATATTCCTACAAACTATTTTTTTTTGTCGGACTGTGTTTTTTTCTAGACTTTCCTTAATCCATGCAACAAATTTGAGCCCATCTTATAATTATTTGTTGTATATATTTTGATTAATTTTAATTTAAATAAATTTTAAAAATTAATAATTAATTTAAATATAAATATTAATCTTGTTGCAGGCACCCGACTCGGCTTCGACCAGCCCAAGGGGATGTACGATGTGGGTCTGCAGTCGCACAAGACGCTCTTTCGCATACAGGCGGAGCGCATACTTAAGGTGGAGCAGCTGGCCATGGAGGTGGTCGGCAAGCGGGGCCATATCGTGTGGTACATCATGACATCGGAGCACACAAAGCAGCCGACCCTCGACTACTTTGCGGCCAACAACTATTTTGGGCTACGGGAGGATCAAGTGGTGCTCTTCGAGCAGGGTTCGCTGCCCTGCTTTGACTACGACGGACGCGTCATTCTCGACGAGAAGCATCGCGTCTCACGCTCCCCCGACGGCAATGGTGGCATCTATCGTGCCATGGAACGGTCGGGTGTTCTGGACGATATACAACGGCGGGGCATACTCTATCTGCACGCGCACAGCGTCGACAACATATTGATTAAGGTGGCCGATCCCATCTTCATTGGCTACTGTGTGAAGGAGCAGGCCGATTGTGCCGCCAAAGTGGTGGAGAAATCGTCACCCAACGAGGCTGTCGGCGTCGTTGCCATTGTCGATGGCAAATACCAGGTGGTGGAGTACAGTGAAATCTCGGCCACGACGGCCGAGATGCGCAGCGCCAAGGGACGGCTAAAGTTTAGCGCTGGCAACATATGCAATCATTTCTTTTCGGCCGCGTTCCTCAACAAGATCGGGCGCACCTATGAGCGGCAACTGAAGCTGCACGTGGCCAAAAAGAAGATACCGTTTGTGGACAATGCCGGCAAACGGCTGACGCCCGACAAACCGAATGGCATCAAGATCGAGAAGTTCGTCTTCGATGTGTTCGAGTTTGCCGAGAAGTTTGTGGTGATGGAAGTGCCGCGGGACGAGGAGTTTAGCGCCCTGAAGAATGCCGATGCGGCTGGCAAGGATTGCCCCAGCACAGCACGCGCCGACTTGCATCGCCTGCATCGCAAATATATCAAAGATGCTGGTGGCATGGTGCACGGTGAGATTTGTGAGATTTCGCCGCTTGTCAGCTATGCTGGAGAGAATCTCGCTCGTCTCGTTGGTGGCAAATCGTTCACCAGTCCCGTTCATCTCTGCGATCCCATGCAGGGACATCTCTAGACCACACACATACTTACATATATATATAAATGTACATATAGACTGATGAATGTGTTTAGTTTCTGTATACAAAACTTGGTTCATCGAAAAATTCCATAGTTTCTCAGTACTTAAGCGCAACTCTTTGATATATATTTGATTAGTCGCGAACATTTTGTTTAATCTTTAGTTATCATTCTCTGTGCAATCGGAATAGAATTAAATATATATATATATATACGATGCATACAATACAATATTTGCATATTTTAATATTGTAAAATACTATATCACAAAGTTTGTTTAATTATAATTGTGTTTAATTAGACTGATTGCCTTTTTGGCTCTGCGTTTCACTTCAAAATGGTTGATTTTTGTACAAGATTGCAGCCTCAACATTGGTAAACATGCTTGGATGACTTCCCTATCAATAACGTTGCCAAATTAGCAAATATTTTAAATATCTTTATGGAGCAATGTGTTAAAATCAGTCCAAAAAAAGTTGATGCCATCGGTTTCTAATTGGATAAAATCGCTTATAGATCAGAAGCAAGAAATTGACTCTTTTTGATGCCCATCAATTATATATATTCCTTATGGGATCAAAGATGCTTCCTCATGCCGGATATCTACAGCTGCTCTGCTTCGGGTATAAATATATACACTCAAAAAAAAAACGTTTCTAATTACTCAACAATTCCCATTGAATTGTGTCCCTTTTTAAAGAAACATGCTCTGAAAATAATCGCCTCGATTTTTTGAATTTCTGCATGCTTTTGGCGCCAAAGGATAACTCACCTTATCATTCAGAAGGGAAATTCTAAAAATCAGTTCTTTTCTTGTCTTCATAAAATACATATAATTTCCAAGATTTATCTTTCATATGTGCACAAAAAACTCGTTTATTATTAGTATTTTAAAGATATCACATATAGAAACATTTTCGATAGTTTTTATACAATATTACTTAAAAAAACGTACAATTTTACAGCGATTCGAATACGCGATTCCGACAGACGATATTGGTTTATTCGAATATGAAATCCGAGTCTGTAAATTTATTTACTTATTTCTGAATTTAAAAAAGAATTCTACTTTTTAGAAGAGCCTTGCTTAATAATAGAAAATATTTCTTGCCTTTAGAAATAATTGTTTAAAAACAAGAAAAACTTGTGCTAAAATTCAGTACAATATTTTTTTGAGTGTATCCACCGCATTAATGTTGAAAAACCAAAAGCTCTTCAAATGATAGAAAGTAAATAGAAAATGTTTGACTTTATTTGGGAAACGATTTCATGGCGGGCAGCACCTCCTCGACCCATTCGCTGCTGATTTCGGTGACCTGACGGAGGAAATTGTGCTCCGTTTGGACCATTTCCGTGAAGAGGATGCACTGCGGCTTGTATTTGCCATGGAGCACGCTGGATGGATGGATTTTGGCCTTGACACGGCCACTGACGGTCAGATAGTGTCCCTCCTTCTGCAGCAGGGCGATGTTCTCGAAGAGACCCGTCAGCAGGCACTTCTTGACCGCGTCCACATTGTCGCCGCCGCAGCTATTGATGGCCAAATTGAGTCGCCCACTGATCTCGGCCAGCTGATTGCGCACATTGCGGGCATAGGTTAGATTCCTGATGTTGAGGAAGTTGTCGTGGCACCAAATCTTCGGCTTCTCCGTCTTCTGAAAGGTGCTGAAAACGTTGAGCAGCGTCAGATGATCGCCGTGCTTGGACTGAAACTTGGCATGCGCCAAGGCGGCCAGTTCGCTCTTGTCCGTGTGCCCAATGAAGACATTGTCGCTGGACAGCGCCGCCACCAGGCTGAGCATCTCCTCCATGCAGCCAAAGCTGGGCGCCGACAGCAGCAGCTTGGCATAGCGGGGATCAAGCGGAAACTGGGCCATCCAACGGCCCGTTGTTGTGATGACCAATGGCGCAGGCTTGATGGCGCCCAGTTGCTCCAGCGCTCGGTGGGCACTGCTGATGCCCTCCGGCGGCGGCGCATCGATGAAATCAAAATTGCTGCAATCGATGCCCAACGCGAGCAGCTGCAACACGGTCGAGGTCAAATTGCTGCGCAGGATTTCCGGCAGCGAGGTGCTGCGAAACTGTTCCATGCTCGCCTTCGAATAGGTGCGATAACATTTCCCGGGCGCATCTCGTCCGGCGCGACCACAACGCTGCCAGGCCTGCGCCTGCGAGATGCGCACCGTTTTCAGCAACTCCAAGCCGGTGCCGGGATTGAAGGACTTCTCCTTGACATAGCCGCAATCGATGACACACCGGATGCCCGGTATCGTAATCGATGTCTCCGCTATATTCGTGGCCAACACAATTTTGCGTGTATTCGCGGGAACGGGCAGAAAGCACTCGAGCTGCTTGCCCTGCGCCAGCTGGGCGTACAAGGTGAAGACGCGCACATCCGAGGGACCCGTATTGTTGATCCTCGCCAGCTGGCGTATTTGCTGAGCCAGCGCCTCGATCTCCTCCTGGCCGGTGAGAAAGATCAGCACATCGTGATTGATCGGCTCGTGGCGATGTATATCGAAGAGGGTGACGAGTGCAGCGTGTATGTAATCCTCCTGGCTGTCCTTCGCGTGCAGCACACGCACCGGATGCGTGCGTCCCTCCAGGTACATGCCGCGCACCCCAAAATACTGCCCGAAATGATCAATGTCCATCGTCGCTGAGGTGATGATGATCTTCAGCTTGGGCAGTCGCTGTTTGGCGCGTTCCAGCTGCGCCTGCTTCACAATGCCAAACAGCACATCCGCGTTCACCGTCCGCTCGTGTGCCTCGTCCAGCATTATCGCCGAGTATTTGCGCAGCAGGCGATCCCCAATCGCTTCGCGCAACAGGATGCCATCGGTCATGTAGCGGATGCGTGTCCGTTCCGTTGTGGCATCCTCGAAGCGGACCGTGTAGCCGACCGTCTCGCCAATGCCCGTCGCCAGCTCCTGGGCGACACGCTTCGCTATGGTGATGGCTGCCACGCGACGTGGCTGTGTGATGCCAATGATGCCACCGTTCGCATAGCCGGCCTGCAACAGAAATTGGGGTATTTGGGTCGTTTTGCCACTGCCCGTTTCGCCCATGATTAGCAGGGTGTCGTTCGCCTCCAGCTCCTTGAGTATGCGCTGCCGGCAATTGTAGACGGGCAGCGACCGTCGCTCCTGATCAATGCTGCTCCTCTTGTTGCTGTTGGCAGCCAAAACATTCTTGTAAAGATTCGGTTTTTGCTGCTGATTGAAATTGTTGTTGGTCGGTTTCTTTATGGCATTCTGCTCCTTCATCGGCTCCAGTTTGCGCTTGACGGCAAATGCACTTGAGATGCCAGCGGAGCCATTGCTATTGATCAAATATTTGGACTCCATGTTCTGCAAATTCCACTGCAAAAATAATACAAATCAATTCGTTGGCACTTTTTGTGTAAACAGCAAAAGCTTGTTTTGTCTTGTCGACCAGCCTCAATATTTGCTATTTGCGCTGCTATTGATGGCCACATTCCTTTACCTGCACATTGGTCGTCGATTGTCAAGTTTATCGCGTTGTAAATATTGCTTTTTAAATAACTAACACAAAATGTGTGCGCAAATCACAGGTGTTGGCTGAGGGTGGAGTGGGGGGAGACGGGCGCTCCACGCTTGTGACTTAGTGATGTGCAAAAGCGGGCTCATTTATCGATTCGTGAATGTTCATCTCGTTCCGATAACAGTAAGCTTCAATTGATAAATATGAAATTGAATAAATGTCATGATATCTGTAAATTATGTTTGTATTTGTGTATTTTAATATTATCATAATGTTTCCTTATGCATTTTCTTTACTTTTTTTTAATTTCACAATCTGCAACTGAGTTTTAGAGTGATTTTCTAAGATTTGCAAAATTGATGTATTTTTCTAATTTTTCATTAACGTTTTATATCTCTCAACATTTCCACACGTTGTAAGTCGGTAAATATTCCACACAATATTCCATTTTTATACTAAATCTTGCCGCGCACAAATAAATAGTGGGAACAATTTCGCTTAGTACAGTTTGAGAGCCCAGCTACGTTAAAATACCCGCGTAATCGATAATTTCGCAACGCACATCTCCAATGCACGCGTCTCCCGCTGACTGACAAATCAAACAGCTGTTTTTCATCTGTGCGTATTTTTCACAACACTTTTGCCTGCCTCCAAAAGAATTTGCCACATTTTCCGGGAAAGAATATTAGAAAAAGAAAAAAATGGTTGCTGGCGGCGCAACAGACACGGGTGGCGTAAAGCCCATGGCCATAGCGGGTCGCATGGTGCGCGAACGCGAGCGTCTAATTGGCATGTCGCCGGACGAACGCGCCTGGCGCAAACAGTGGCTCAAGGATCAGGAACTGCATCACGGACCGCGCAAGGTGCCCGCCTTGGAGCTGGAACTGAACAATCCCATTAAGCGCCTCTATCGCGCACCCTTGGACAAGATTTGCAACATTCTGACGCCGGCGCTGGTAGAACCCAATTATTATGTAATCATATAAAATGTTTGTAAATCTCAACGAATCCTGATTTTTAGGGCTTCCAACGGGCCTACACCGTGCGCTATTGGACAGGAAAGGCGCTGATTGCGCTGACGGGCATCTATGCGGGCGCCTACTACTTCAAATACAACCAGAATGTGAGCAAATAATTCAACATTTATTTATTTGTAGCACAACAATTAATGATAATTTGTGTATTGCTTTTAGGATTGGACTCGCAAGGGTGGCTGGCGTGTGATTTCCTCGCGCAAGGCTTGTGTGCCCGGTGACGAGGGTTATCCCCGTGTCTCCGATCGCACCGCGCCCTCCGATTATGCCACGCGTGGCTTCAAGCAGTCCCCCATCTAAGTGGAGACGCCAACGATGCCTTTTCTTAAGTTCATAATATAAAATAATGTTAGCAAAACGCAATCGCAATAAACATGGAAAGAGAAACAGAAACAGAAACCGAAATAGTCGCAACTCAATTTGTCCATGGCTCGCTTTTCTGCTGCGTTTGGCAAAAAATTTGTTTTATATTTTCTTCTTTTTTTATGCAGCGTTTTGCAAAAAGCTTTTCAAGCATTTTTCAGCAGCTGAACTCAATTATTTTAATCGTTGCTTTTCTTTTATTGTGATATTCGAGTTGGGGAACGTTAAATCATCAAAGCGCATAATTATTTTGTGTTTTATATTTGTTGTGGTTTCCTTTTGGTCTAACATTTTTTAGAATTTTTGAATTTAGTTGACAAAATGAATCATTTGACAATTTTCATCAATAAATTTGCATACAAAAACAAATTAAACACAAAAGTTTCAACAAAAATAAAAGTTGTGATTTGAAGTGTTAATTTACTGATTCATTAAGCATTCAATTGTTAAATTAAAGTGAGCCGCATTTCATATTTGAATATTAGCTTTTAATTAAAATGCGCTTTAAACGGGAATTTAACGAATACAAAATTTAATTATATATAAAACAAAGCGTTACCAGACTTTTTTTTGGCAAATGATCATAATTCACAATATGCGTTTGCTTTTGTATATTGCCTAATAAAGTGACATAATAAAAACGTGATTACAAGTATAAAGTTGTAGTAGTGATTTATGCATGATAGAAGCATAAAAGAGTTCTATACTAATAAATAACTTTAAATTGGCCCGCTGATCGTCGGCATGCATTGTTTACATTGTTCGCTGTGAATGGCAATTCAACAGTGTGCTAAAAGAAAACATCGCTTAAGCGATGTGCAGCTCGCGAGTATCGATTGTCACTAGTGGAAAATGCTCTTCTGTTTCGCTATTCTCTCTTCCACACGGCGACGGCGACAGCGCAGTTCACTTGAATTCATCTCTGGAAACTTGGGGATTAGATTTTTGCACCAATTGCGGAGCTAAAACCATACACAAAACCACGCACAACATTTTAAGAAACACACACTTGGCCTTGACTTAAGCCGGCATAAGGTAAAAACAAAAAAAACCAACAAACTGTGCGAAGTGTGTGTGAATGTGTGTGGCTGTGTGTGTGTGTGTGTGCAATTTATTTTTTCATCCGCGTGGATCGCATTTTGGGTATTGAAACACACATTTTGCTAACTGCGCGCGTGGCTCGCTGCTGTCAGGCATAAATTAAGCGCAACAAGCAACCCCCAAATGCAACAACAACAAGAACAACAACTTGGACAACGAAAGTCTTCATCCGGAACAGGTGAGTAGCCAATTAAACGCTGCTAAGCAGGAGCTGGTTCCAATTTTCGCACATTTCTTTTCCCAAAATTCCAATTCCAAATAAGATGCGTTTCATTTTTTGGTAACACCCTTTTTTCCGTTTTTTTTTTGCTTTGTGTTTTACGAAGACGAAAAAAAATGTATTCGCAGTCGGCGTCGCTGTCAACGTTGCTGGTGCTGCGTCAGCTGTCACTTTTCTGTGTGTGAGTGAGCGCTTGACGTCGACGTTGCTTCCCGCGCGCGGGAAATTCACAACTTTGTCCATTCATAGCTTGCACAATTTTGCGCTGATTTTTGTGCACTTAATCAAATTAGATTCTGCGAGTTTTTATCTGTGCAATGCATATGGATAGGTACAGGGTTTCAGTTAGAATAGCGACGCCAGCTGCCAGCAAAGTCGGGGCCAAAACGTTCAAAATGCTACAACAAAGTTGCCGTTGTTTGTTTGTGTTCTGAGCGGCGTTGCCAGCAGGTCATTAAAAAGTCGCTAAATGTAAACATTTAACTGACTCGACTAAATTGGAGTCTTTGTATAAATTTGCAAGAAAACAAAAATAATTTATTTGTATAATGTTCAAAATGTGAATTTCAATTAAATTAAATAACATTTATGGGAGTTTTAAGCGTAGGAAATGCAATTTTTGTTGTATGAAAATGTATTTTGAAATACTTTTGACAAATTCCATTATCCTTGTTCAGCTTATGGTAAGAAAATGTTAAGTAAAAATTTTTGCTTAGGCAACGTTTTGTTTCTTTCTCTGCCCAGGTGGCAGCCTTAACAGCTGTAGCGCGGCAACGCCTGTTAAGTGAGCGCCACTTGAACGGCTGTTTCACTCTCGCACACACACACAAAGACAGGTCAACTGCCTGTTTGGCGCTTCAAACAGGAGCGTCACTTGCCGCCCGTTTCATTCAATAAAATGTATCCAGGGGGAAGGAGAGTCGGATAAGCTGCTCCTGCTGCTTGCCACACGCATTTCACAACTTTTTGCTGACGTTTTTGTTTCTTTGCGCGCGCTCGCGAGCTTCGATTTTTCTCTGGTTTGCTTTGCTTTGCGCTCTTAAATGTCAGTTGGGCTAACCAGCAACCACAACAACAACAACAAGCACAACTTGTTCTTATGTGTTTGTTGCATTTTTTTTGGCGCTGGATCTACTTGCACACACACGCGCACATACAGCTGCCTGCTGCCTGCTGCCTGCTGTTTCTGCTACTGCTGTCAACGCAGACGTCGCTGTCGACCCTCTCTCTCGCTCTTTGGCACTCTCTTTCTGTTGCCGTCGAGCCACTTGCTGGCGATCAGTGATCACTGCTCAGCTGCTGCTTGGTGAAGTTCGTGGCCGGCGTGTGACGACGAATAAAAAATAATAAATCTATATATTTCAATTTTCCAGTGCAAAATTCAACTGCGAAATTCAAAGCACACATAAAACGCAACAAGTGTGCACAATTTAAAGGTAACGCAAATGATTGCTGGGCAGGAAACCCAAGAAAAATATTAAATTGATTTGTGTAAAAAAAAATTACGCGTGTGACAAGTGTGCGAGTGTGTCTCGTGTGTGTGTGTGTGCGAGTGTGTGTGTGTGTCGTCGTCGTGTCGCTGTGTCGTTGTGTCTTTGCATTTTTTGCTACAAATACAACAAGCGACCCCCACAAAAAAACGGTGCTTTTCAGAAAATCTTATTGGAAAGGAAATTGGATTGTTCAGCATGGACACTTGCATTTGCCAATTGGCAGCGTATTAGAACGGTTCAGTGAACCAATACGCTGGCTGCATTATCAAATTGGAACTCCAACTGGAGTTGACCCAATTCAAATTGTCAGCATTCGCAGCATTCTTTTTACATGTTTTTCTTTTGCTTGACGCACTTTCTAATCAATTCGCATTTATTCAAATATATATTTGTATATATGTGTGTATTTGTGTATATATATTTTATGATGTCGGTCGTCGATTGCACTTTCCCGCCATTCGAATAGATTTTGGGCGCCAACCAAACGCCCAATTCGCGCCACTTTACTTTACGTGTGCGCTTCTCTTTCTCTTTCTCTCTCTCCAGCTTTTTTTGTGACACACTCATAACGTCGACTGGGAGAGCGTATGCTGCTGCACAGCGAAACCCTCTCTTTAGTTCCAATCAGAATAACCATAAAGCGTCGCTGTTGCTGTCGCTGCAGTCGCAGTCGTTGTTAGCGTTTGCCGTCGACGCCGGCTTTGTTCTCTGCGTCCACTTTTTCTTTCACCATTCTCGCAACATACACACACAACAATAACAAGAAACAAAAAAAAACTTAGTACATGATGAAGCCGGCGTCGACGTCGACGCTGACTGCGTGCTTTTGAGATATGCGCCGACGTGAAAAGTTCAAAGCGAAAAAGAAACATCGAATCGAACCTTTTGAAAACTTGACGAAAACGAAGAGAAACAAAAATAAATAAAATGAGTAATAGTCTCATAAAAGAAGCGAAGCGCAGAGCAACTGAATTATGTCAAAAGTGGCGCAAAATCTTTAGGTACATTTGTACATATGTACATTTGTACATAGGACTTGGTGGTTGCCTCCTAGAGATGGGGCAGGTGACCATATATCGCTCGGGGGTCTTAAGCTGCTCCCGCTTGGGGTTCATTGATATTAACACGCATACATACGAGTAAACATGAATATGTATTTGTTGTGTGTGTGTGTGTGTACTTTTCGCATTTTGTTTTAGTTTTTTGCTTCTATTTTTCCGGTTTCAATTTACCTGTTACAATTAGATTTTTTTGCGACTTTCTTTTTGCTTGCTGGTTTATAAATTGCGCTCTTTTTAATATTGCTGGTTTGTTGTTTTTTTTTCTTCGCGCTTTTTGCTTTTTGCTTTCGTAATTTGACTTGGCTTTTTATGCTTTTTTGTGTGTTTCTTTCATAAAATACAAGAATTGCAAAGGCACATCAAAATTACTTTTTATTGTAATTTTAAGTTCAGATTAAAATTCTATTTTGATTACTCTGTTCAATTTATTATTATTATAGATATGTATTTATATTATCAAATATATATACTTTTTGGCTGTTTCATTTGACACTCGTCCTTGGGGCATATAATCAAACGGAATATGCTCATATATATTAAAGTCATTTATTATATTTTGAACATCACCTGCTGATTTTAGCCTAACGACAAAATTCCAAGTAAAGGAATTTCTCAATTATAAATATTTGTGCATAGAGAAGGACGAGGAGGAGGTGGAGAGTTGCTTACAAATATTAAATAGGATCGTGACTATCGCATATAAATCGAAAAGCATTTTTATTGTCTTGTCGAAAAAAGTGAAGATGATACGACGAAGCCTTAGCAGTGTGTGTGTTGTGTGTTGTGTGTGTGTTATGCGTGTGGACCTGGACCAAGTAGTAGTGGGGAATGCAGCAGAAACAACAATGATAAACAGTTTCCAGTTATTCTCGTGCAAACACACAAAAGGCACAAAAGGATAGCAGCCAAAAACAGAGAGCGAGCGACAGAAAGAGAGAAAGAGAGGGGGAGGAAGGGAGAGCGATATAGATACGGATATGTGGCCACTTGAAGCAGTCGCATCCTTTTAAACACGACTGCTGCTAAATATAAACTAAATAATCAATTGAGCGCATCGTTGTATCTGTGTCTGTCTCTGTGTCTGTGGCTGTGTCTGGCCTAACGGCTACTTCAAGGCCGGCAATTCCTGGAACGCGGCTGTCCATTGAAGAACTTTTTTTTTTTTTTTTGTTCTGTGATTTGGTCGCCGCGTTACTTTCACACGCGCATTTCTGGGCAGGCACATTTACATGTACATATGTATGAGTATGTGTATGTGTATATGTATGTGTTTATGTATATCCCAGCAGCGAAAAGAGCGCATTACGAGTATTCGACTCGTAATCTATACCCATATCGCTTTTCCATAAAATAATCAACTTATATGCTGCATTGACAGCTTTTCTATGCGCTTTACAGGCTTACTATCGGAATGTCTTTATATAAATATATATTCATAATATATAGAAAGTTTACAATTTGCTGACTTATTCTAGATAATATTGCATTTTTAAGTATAAACAAATAACATATACTTTATGCTCTACTACACACAGTTTTGTAATGGAAAAACTACAAGAATTAAAAGGAACAGTAAAACGGATAAGATAAGATTATACAAACAAAATATGTAATTAGAGATAGATATTAGAGATTAGCGCACAGCTTTTCTTGCCAAAGCTTCAGAATGCAGCTCTGTTTGCTTGTATGCATTACTTGGTAATGAATTATATTGTGTGCATAAAGAATGCATTCCGTAATGTGGGGTCATTCACTACTTCGCTGCTGGGATGTATGTAAATTGACCCACGCGAATGCTGAGAGAAATATATGTATGTATGTATGTATGTATGCATGTGTGGGCAGTTGAAGAATTTGATGGTACTGTCTCCATCTCGACCCTCGCAGAAGCTGATCGCTATGAAACTTTAGAGTGTCATAGATGAATTACATAAATTTTTATTTAATTTGCAGATTAATGAATTTTTAAATATTTGTAAGTTTAATGAGCAGCTAACAATTTGTTTGATTGTTGAGGAATGCTATTGTATATATAAAAATTTGTGCTAAAATCTTGTAACTTATTTACATAAATTTGACGACGACGACTTTGCGGCAGGCACTTAGAGTTCCAACTAATTGCAAAAGGCGCACATGCGACAGATCGACCACAAGCAAAGCGGATGCATTGGCACTGACAATCCAGGCAATTCATTCAACAGATACATAAGGCCATATATATATATATATATATATATTTATATATGTGTACATTTTATGTGCATGCATTTATCTTGAGTATCTTAGGAATGTATCTTTGCTCGTTGTGCAAGCGCAGCCCAAAATGCATGCATCAACAACAAACAACGCAAACACACTCGCACACACACACACACACATCGCATAGCAAGCACACCAAAAAAGGACGTACAAAAATTGCAGTTTTTAGTCGGCAGACAAGCTGAAGAAGTCGTCTCGGAATTCGGCAAGGGACCAGACCAGGGTCTAGAAACCATGGACCTGTTTTATGTTTTGCTCGCCCGCTCTCTCTCTCTCTCTCTCTCTCTCTCTCTCTCTCTATTATCTTTCTCTCCTCTCTCTTTCCCTCTCTCTATCTCCCTCTCTGTGCACATTTTGCGTGTTTTTCGTAATTTCGCTCTTTACCTCAAGTTGCGAGTTCGAGTTTTGAGTATCTTTTTCATTTCCTTGTGGGAAATTGTGTGTTGCACACACACACATACACCAGCAAACATATGTACATATTTATATATATACATAAATATATATATCTATTTCTACATTCAACCAAAATTTTTGTTTCCTCCTCGCTGAGTGTCGCTGAAAAATAATTCCAGTTAAATCCGTTCGCATCTCATTGTTGTTGACCTTGGCCTTCAGGTAAACAATTTACTTATGCGTCGTCTAATTAGGCCCTGGGAAGCTGGCAAGCGCCTTTCATGTTCTACTCCTCCTCCTTCAGACTTACATATACACACACACATATATATATATATATGTATATCCATGTATATGTGTATTTATGTATTAATATTTGTGCGCATACCTGTCGCCGCATAATTCTCGCAAACTGATAGCGACAACTGACACACAGAGAGAGAGAGAGAGAGAGAGAGAGAGAGAGAGAGAGAAAGAGAGACAGAGCGAGAGAGGAAGAGAGCGGATTCAGCTCTCGCAGCACAACTTAATCTTCATTAGCGCTTCTTGCTTAATCTTTGTCTTGGGGACCTCCCCCAATGTTTGCTGCTGCGATCATCATAAATTTATTCCTATTAAGATGTGATCAAAATGATACAAATTTAAGTCAGTCAATGTTTTATATCTTTGAATGTTTTCCAATCACATTAAACATTTGAGATATTAATATTAAATATTTTTGAGAAGAAAGAGTCTCATAAAGTTATGCAAAAGTAAGCAATCTAATCTAAACCCAAAAGAAGTATATGTTTTCTTGATCTGTGCTGATCTTTTTAACTGTTGCAGCTTGAGATTTCAGTTTTAAACATAGTTTAATAACATATAACAATTTTAAACACCCGATTTTACAAAGAACTTAAACAAAAACTATACAAAACTGTAAAAAGAAAAAACCCAACGAGAAAAGCAGGGTTGGAAATTTGTAAGGTAACAAAAAAGCAAAATATCACCATAAAACGAAGGAAAGTGAAAGGCGGCAATTAATTAGTAGGCATATCCGCAATTAGTGTGAAAATGATGGTTGCAAAGCAGGCAAGAAAAATATAAAAAACAATAAAATAAAACTCCGACAAAATGGAAAATTGTGTAAGAAAAGGCGATGGGCGGCAAAAGAAGGTGCAAGGCGAAAAGAAAGTCGTTAACTAAATAACAGTACAAATGGGGTAGTTATGCCCCGAGACCAGAGCCAGAGGAGGTGTCAGCGGTGTCAGGGAATGCCAAACAAAAGCGGCACATAAATCGTGGCAAAAATAACGCCAGCCCATATGTCACACATCAGTTGAAGAAAACAGGAAAACAGGAACTAGAAAACTACACAAAAAAAAAAGAAAGAAAGGGGAAAAAAAACAGGGGAAACGCGACAGGATACGAATACGCGGAGCAATTAGCACTGGCAAAGTCAATTGAAGGCGCAACTACAGCGAATTGAAAAGAAGTAAAGACTACAATAATAAAACAAGAGTGCAAAACAAACTCGAGAGTGATCGACTAGCAGTTACCCTGTGCATAGCCGTAACATACTTAATATCTGCCTCAACTATTTTGCTAGAGGGTATAAGAACACAAGTAGTCCTTTGGCTGCAGCCTACAGGACCCTTTTTTTGTATTGTATTCGAAGCATTTTATTTTCTAAATTATATTAAATATGTTTTGGGTTTTATTGTACTTAAGAACAATTGAAAAAAATAAATTATAAAATTTATATAGATTTATAAATGAATTTTAATTTACAAAATAAGTTTGCGCATTTGTATGATACCCATTTGAAACATTTGTGTAAAGGGTATAAAAATAGGAGTTGTCCTTTGGCAGCAGCCTGCATGACGAAGAGAGAGATAGAAGAGCGGAGGGGGCCAATGTTCAACAGCTGCCACGGGCATTCACCTGCCCGCAGAGGCAAGAGGCCAAGTGTCAGTCACAACAACAGGTGCATTGATCTCTCCAGCATATTACAGCTCGATATAATTATGCATCGCCGCTTGTCGTAAAAGGAAAAACACCACGTTGACGTTGCGCATGCGTCGTTGAGTTGTTCGCTGCCCCCCGCCAAAGAACACCTGGCATCAACAGGAAAACGGGCAGCTAGACTCTTAATCGAGACTCGTGGAAATTCTATTGACTACCTGTCTAATCCAAACTTGACCCATGTGTGCCTGATATCAACTGCCTGGTTTTCGTTTTCCCGGCTTGTAATTTGAATATCTTTTTTGGGCACGTCCATTTTACATCATAATAAAATGCTGTTAAATATTTATTTTGGTCTTTGCTAAAATAAAACTGGAAATACACCATTCAAAATGTCTTTAAGTATGTGTGAGAAATGTTGTCTGCACGTAAACAAATTTGTTTTTGCCTTGGACCACATGCTGTGCGCATTAGATGTGTTGAAGGATCCTAGCTATCGATAAGTTCTGTAAATCGATAACTCGAAGAATATGCAGCATTTTAAATATCTTTTTTTCTGCCACAGTTTTTTCTTTCTTTTTTATTATTCAAGTTTATTTATTTTGATTTATTTGATTATTTATTTTCAGTTCCTTTTTTATAACCTGCCCATCAGTTACTGCTTTATCGAGCAGCTCCACACACTTTAAAAATTATTCATATACTATTCAAAACTTCAACGGCATTTCAAGGCCGTACAATTATGGATTTTAATGCCAAGAGGTGAGTTTTCCATTTATTTATAATGCACTTAATCCTTTCATTTCTATTATTTTTAAGCCAATTTGTCAATGTATTTATATTTATTTGATGTATCTTATTTTATTTTTTGTTGCTTTTCATCTTTAACATTTTCGTTTTGTAGATACATACAAAAATACTTAAATAAATATTGAAACAAAAGTTTAAACAAATATTTATATTTATTTATACATTGTAGGAGTATTTTATGCAGTTTAGGTTTCTAGGATAAAAATTTATAAATGAATCTTAAATTGTCTTTTCTGTTAACTTGTGAGGGATTTTCTTAAGCTTATCAAATTTGTAAGTATTATTATCCATAAACAAAAGTTCTGGTTTAGGTTTAGGTACACAAGATATCAATTACTTTTCTTCATATTTTGTAAAGTTCTTCACATTTGCCGTCTGGTTCCTTGGCACTTCATGGTTGGATGCATGGCTGCATCGTTTTGACTTCCTTTTTAAACCGATCCAGACAATTAAGAGACCACATCTAAACTAAAACCCAACTGTTTCTAATTCTAACTTTCGTAACTGACTTCCTGGGGCGACAACGACATGCACTTCCTTATGCCAAGTGACGACCACAACTATCCTGGTAGCCGCAGCCGCCTTGGCCTCCCAAAAAAGAAAAAGGCGACCAACGATGTTTATCTAATAACATTTTCGTAATTATAAAGTGACGGGCCAACTGGTTATGGGTGACTACCCGCAGTACCCCCTAGCCCCGAGCTCAGTGTGATAATCTAAAATGCATTTTCACTGCAACGGCAACTGCAGACAACAGACAACAGACAGGCTCAACTATTTTTCCCAAAAAGGACGCAAATCGAACAGCTGTTGTTGGTTGTAGGTGTTAAAATAAAAGTGCACTCTGATAACCAAGTGGCGCATCCGCATCGCATTCCGGCACTGCACCAAAAATCGCCAGGCATGTGACATATAAATATACATATATATATAAAAAGGTCCTGCGTGTGATTAGTAAATAATTGCGCGCGAAAAAGTCATTAGAAAACTGTTTAGTCGCTGTCAGTTGAGGCGACTCTGCGAGGGGCGGTTGCACAGCCCTTATTGCCACATCATGTTGCTCGCATGTTGATAATATTGTCACACACACACAGACACACTCAGGGACTATATTTTGTGGTTTTTTAGCTTTTGTTGCTTTCAAAATTAATTGAGTTTAATACTGCCGCTAGCCGATAAAGGACACCACCCTCCACCCTCCACCCTGCAGGCAGTGCGCGCTTCAATATAATTGCATAATTGCCCAGTCATTTGGGTCTCGTCAGTTGCGACCCTCGCAACTGGGTCCGCTCTCCTCCTGCCTGCTGCCTTCGATCACTTAAGTGATAGTCCATTTTATGGACATAATTCGTGGTCAAACATGTGTGCGACATTATTATTATAGTATTGGAATGTGTTGCGACACAAACTATAACGGAATTCTCTTAATCATCAACTGATCAACTCGGACACATTTTGAGGTTATATTTCCGAGAAATACTGTTGCATACTTTTAAGCGCATTCTCTCTTCTTTCTAGTTTGTTGCGAGGAAATGATTGGAAATGAAAAGGCAAAGTTAATTAAAGGGATATCTGAGTGTATAAAATAAGGTATCATTAACCACACTTGGAAAATTCAATTAAATAAAATTCAGAAGACATTAAGCAAATATGTCTGCTTACTTACTCAAAATAAGTCTTGCCAAATCGATTTTTAACTACTCTTTTACTGCTGTAAAAAGCATTAAATATCATTTTATATTTTGTTGAAATTACAAATATTTTTTTTTGAATTGATATACACAAAAACAATTAAATCTAAGTGCTTTCTGAATTGAATGTCTTTTTTTAGACAGATTAAAAGAGCTCACTTCTATTTCTCGCATACTTTTTGATTAAATGTATTAATTTTTACTATATTTTCTTAAACAGACTTAAACTTTTTTTTTATGGTTTTCATAATTATGTGTAACAGTCAAAAATATTATTTTTACGTATATGTAGCTTTTAAAGAAATATATTTAACAATTTATTCTTATAATTATCACTTTACAAATGAGTCAATATGCGTGAGCGAAAAGTAAGAAATTGCGAAAGATCTTTTAACATTGTTTCTACTATTATTGCTTCTAGTTTAGAGGTATTTTCTCTCTACTCTCTGCTTGCCTTACAATCAATATGCAATGCATATTTGAAATTCATATTTTCTTACCTTTCTCTGAGCCTCAGTTGATTGTCACATAGACACAGCAGCTACCCCAGGAGGCATAATTGCTCATTCCACGGATTTGATTGCGCTAAGAAGCTACAGCTGCCGCTTTCTACCTACATTTTCACACCCAGTCGTGGATACAAAATAAATACCAGCCATGAATTTTTCCACGCTGCGAAAGAGCATTTCTCCTTAGGCAACAAAATATTATACGAACTTTCACCGCGATCAACATTGACAAATTTTCTTTGATTTGAACCTTTAACCAAGGACTGGGGCACCCTACTGACCTGAAAATGGAAAAACTTTTGAGTGCGGTGTGTAGCACGTACGCGCCATTAGTCTGTAGAGCCATTTCTCTTCACTATTTGCTTACTTCTCGTTGCCATAACTCATTTCTAAGCGACTCCATTTCCTTGTAATTTACTACGTGATTACTTTTTCTTGTTCATTAAACCATTAAACGCGATCGATAAGGCAGCGCGCAAAAGATGCCTCTGCACCGATCCCCTTTGGTCAAAAGGAATGGAAAAAGGGCTTAGCAGCTAACTGTGTGTGCAGCAGGCCCTTTCTAACCCATACCTTTGCAAAGGGTATTTCAATTTGATCACGAAATATGTAATACTTTGATGAAGAGCGGTCTTAAAGAACAGACATTTATAGTAATATGGATATATATTATATAGTAATATGTAGAAAGATCAACAATTTTGTTTTCTTTTATGCATATTTTTAATAAATATGAAGAAAATGTACAGGTATTTTGAGAAACATATTTTTGGCTAATTAAAAAGTCGGGAGACATTTATTATTTATTATTAAAAATAAACAAATATATAGTATAAAGAGCGGTGTGCATTTCAGAAATCTCTTAAGCTAATCTACTTTGCTAGTAGTAATTTCTTAAGATATTAGATCAAATATAGTTCGACCATTTTAAGATGATACAGCTCCAGATTTCTGCAAGGGTATTTCCTTTTCGGTACTCTGAATTCTATTTTGTTCTTTTCATTTTGCCGGAGAATAGACATTTCTTTAATGAACCCTTGGCAAGCTTTTGTTGATCTACTGTTAAGGGTTAAACGAGAGACTTCTCCAATTGCAAAAAATTCGCGAATCGAATTGCCTGAAGTGCAGTTTCCTTTTCTTTTCTTTTCTTTTTTTTTATCAGTTGCGTGTCTGATGCTCGAGATAAACATCTGCCTGAAAATAAATGAAACATTTGCTTGCCCGCCCTTGCATTATGCATAATGTGCATGCAAATTTGGGCGAATTGCTTAATTTTCAATCTTAGAGGGTCGTCGAAGACTTTGCACTAGAGAGGCGTCTACAAACCTCTCGATTACAATTTCCCGGATGTTAAATATGTATTTTCGTGTAACCGATGGGTGCCTGTCAAAATTCAATGAATTTATGCGCGAATGCTTGTATCTTCTGTACCGCCCCTATATATATACTTGGATATTCCTTTCTTTCCATTTCTCTTTTTCTTTCTCCTTTTAATTTTTATTTTTGATTAGGTGGAATTGAATTTCCCCATATATTGCAAAATTCGAATAATATAAATGTTGTTGCTTTCCATTTTGTATTTGCAGTGCCAACAGAACCAGCAGCAGCAATGAAAATCATGAGCACGTAGTCACCCCTGCCAGCATCAACAAACAGAGCAGCAGCAGCAGCAGCAGCAGCAACAACAACAACAACAACAACAACAACAGCAGCAACAACAATAACAGTGGATCATCAGCAGCAGAAGCCACCTCCAGAGCTGATCAGCCATGTTTCTGGAGCGACGAATCCATATCCATGGACATGGATCCATGCTATGGTCCAACTAATGCATCTACTTCCACTAACCTTATCATCGGCAGTTGCAAGCGCAAACGTCGCTCTTCCACTCGGGTTAGTATCTATCTACTTGCATATGTACATATAGATCCGTCTTCTTTGTGCGATTATCAGTGCTCGTATACTCTACAGTTAGCTATATAGCTATACTAAAACTGGCAATCTTATCAATCAAACGGCACTCACGTTTCAATCTGAAACTGCACTTTGGGTCATGCCTTTCATGATCCTACCTATATTATATGTGATACTTTGATTCATTCATTTAATTAGATCATCAGCATGTTTACCTACCCAAATTGACAGAGAACTTTGCACAACACCACTTAAATTCTCAACTCAATATAAACCTCCTATATCTATTCAAATTGTACTAATTTATGATATTGTGATATGAAGACTAAAAAGTTGGCAAGATTTTAGAATAAGATTTCTTTTGACGGATGCAGATTAAATTTGGAAAAGAAGATTTCTTATGCCAGAGGCAGATCAAGATCATTTCTTTTTTAAATTAAAACTTTGGCTGGAATAGTCCTGTATTAGGATTAATAATGAAAATATAGGAGTAAACTGGTTCAATGGAATGTCAAATCAACGATCTTGAAGCTAGAGATCCTTACTCGGATTATATTCATGTACTTACTTCTCAAAGTTTAAATCAATACAAACCAATAATCGATAATATTAATATATTAATTTAGATGGTAGATTTCTGTTTGTAGATTGTATCGGTTTTTTAAGGTACTTTTAATCAGCTAAATAGAAATGTTCCTTCATGCTCGACTGTCTGCAACAAACTTACCCACATTAGCTAGTTAATGTTTGCGTATCTGAAATACTCAAATGCACACATGTATATTTTACAAATTGTGTGGATTTCTCGTATCTATTCGATCTTTGGCAGTTCTGGCAGAGATCTCTAACCAAATAAGCCGTTAGTCACGTACAAGGAACTCTCAGCCACTTGGCTGCACACAGAAGCAAGGAGCAAGAAGCAAACAAAATGCAAAAGATGCAGCCCAAAAATAAATGCTACTTATGAAAGGGCTCATTAGGCGCTACTTTCTCTCTCTCACTCTCCCTTTCTCTCTCTATCTCTATCTCTATTTGTCCTTCGCTGCGTGTTAAGTCAGGGCTATTTGGCGTGCTGGGTTTTCAAGTAGCTGCAATCAAAGCCTGGCACAATAGCGACTGAGACCAGCACAGACAACGCCAGTTGTTGCCTACTGGCAGCTGTATTGGTGCAAAGGATTTGCTGGCTGTGTACTCTCTATATATATATATAGATATACAATTTTTTATTTGACTCCTTGCTTAAAAAAGGAAGAAAAAAACTGACAGTCTGCGAGCAATGAACTTGCAGAAAATTGCTTTATCAAAGTTTGTGTCTGTGTTGGTATTTGCAAATACGCGTCTACCCCAGTTTATATAATATGCTGCAAAACAAATGTCATTTTGTTTCCGTATATATGTATATATATGCATATATATATATATATTTATGTTGCCCCCCCAAGCAGTCAGTCAACTAAGAATTCCAATGCTCTTGCAATATGTTGGGCACATGCACAGCAGTAGGACAAAGGACAAAGGACAGATGACGACGTGGAAGTTGAAGTTGAAGTTGCGCATGCGCAACGCGCACACCTTGAGCTGAGCCGTGGACAACTTCAGGGGTTGGTTTTTGCAGTCGTTCAGGACCTAAAGTCAAGACCTTGGCAAAATGTCCGTTAAGTCCAAAAAGAGAAAATGAAGAAGAAGTTGTACGATTGTTATTATTATAGGTTATGTTAGCTTCCGACTCGTCCGCTGCTCTGTCGTGCGTGAAGCGAGAGCAACTAGATCAAGACGGGATGGGACACAACGCCTTAACCACAACAAGAACGCAACGCATTCAAAAAAAAAAAAAGAAGAAAAAAACAGTAAAGGGGGAACGGGGTTGCCCGTTATCCTTGCTCAAGGATCGCAAACGCACTCTGCCGATGTGTTTCTATCTAATTAAATATTCATCGAGACGACATTTGCAGCAGTAGCGTTCCGGGCACATGAAAAATGGTTGCATCCGAGCCGATACCGGTCCCAACACAACACGGGACACGGTAGCCCATCTATCTAGCTATCCCATCCTTATCCTTATGCAAATGTCTACTGCTGCTCATTAGATTTCCGTTAAACTTTTATGCAAAACCATTTTCATATCTCCAGGACTGTGTCATCTGTTTGCGGGACGTTATGGGTTCTCAGCCCTAATTATGCGCTGGGATATTGTTTCTTATGTTTTCGTCTTTGAAATATTATACAATATTTGTTTAGCTTGCGCAAAAAGGATCAAAATTATGGTATTATTTTACCAATTTGTCAGTGTAGTGTAACCCTTTTGTGCGTGATATGTGTAGAGATTCCAAAACTTTCTTTTTGTTGTGTCCTGTAAGCATGAAATCGGCACAACCTTTGTTTTCTTGTATTTTTTCACCCGAATATCGTATCCTTTGGATGGAGGAATTCCCTCTCTTGAATCGCTGCGGGTCCTTCTCAGTTCTCTGTACCGGCAATCAAGTGCAGGACTTGTGCTTGATTTCTGTCAAGTCAGCACCGGCACAGTTTGACGAAAACTTGATTCTCAGGCTGGGTTTTTGTATTTTTTTTGTGCTTAGCTGTCGATGATTCCCAGGCATTTGTTGTGGCAACCCATCTTGGGATAGACAAGGAATAATGCTTGTAATTTGACGTGTTTTCCTTTCTTTATTCGAATTTTAAGTGGATTTCATTTAGCTTAGCAGCCAAATGCAAGCAGAAAAGTTGTTTAGAATTTTACAGAAAAAAAAGAAACATTCTTCCACATATGAATAAGTGTGTGTAAAGCTCTCTTGGAGATTAAGAACCGTTAGCTGAAACTCTAGCAAAAGACGATCCTTAAAGTTGTACGCAAATTAAGTCTTCGTAAGATTGAACTGATGGAATAAAATAATAATAATTTATGATTTATATCATAATTTCCATTTTATAAAAATTAACTGCAAATAAAATCTGTGATTCGAATAAATTTTATATTTTAAAATATTTAAGGATCTCTTTCTTCGTCTTGATAATCCCTTGGCAAAATTCATATTTAAAATTCATTTGCCTGGTTGCGCGCCATCCGTGCCGTAATCCTGCGTAACTACCGCAACAAAGACAGCCGCAGGACCTTTGCTTAATCCATTTTGTCATGCAGGCTAACCAATTGCATGATTAATAGCACAATAGCACCGCACTCGGACAGTCAGACATAATGAAGATTTCGCTTTTCCTTGACGATGTTTAATTTGTTGCAAGTCATGCGGACAACCGCGCAAAAGCGAATGACACCCATTAACCCCTTTCTCCGGCTGCCGTTGACCAGGGGTCACTTTCCATCTGTGACAGCTATCATTGCGAGGAAATATGAGTGTTTGTCCTTTGGGACGGATATGCGGCTTGTTTGCATATCATTTATAACTGCAACTTTGGCACAATCTGACAGCCTTCTGGCTAATTTAGACTGATGGTCAACGCAATTTGACATCTACTTGAACAGAGTCATCCAACTCAATGAAGAACTGATTACTGATTAGCAATTTCTAAAGTAGACTCTGTTTATTTTTGCAATATGGTATTTTAAAAATTCATTCTTCTAGTTGAAAATCGAATTTATAAATTAAATAAGTAATTTTCCTGTAATCATTTATAGAGATTGTCCTAGAATATGATTCAATAGACGTCAAATGGTTGATAACCCCCCCAAGCAATATCAGCTAGTTACACAGTTTTGAGTAAATTCCAATGCTGAAATAAGCCAATGGCACTCGTGCAACATACAGCTGCCTATTTTGCCACATTGCCACATATTAACAATTATCAAATGAAGAAAAGAAAGAAAAATACGAAATTAAATGTTATGAAAGAAGTTGAGCGGACGGGGGCGGCGAACACAACAAAATGAAACTACAGACTACAATGGAATGTGTGTGTTGCACACACACATACACACAAACACACACACACACACACAAATACAATATCAAAAGTTACACCTGGACCCACGCCAAGGTAACCAAGACGGGGCAGACGGAAAAAAAAGAACGAACGAAAACAACAAAAAAATAGAAAGGTGTTTCGGTATTTACAAGGCGAATGGTAGACGAAAGATTACGGCACATCGGCATAGTAGGACTTTAGGGACCAATACAAAGGACGAGCGAGCGAGGAACAGCGACAAGGACTATGAGGTTTGATGTTGTTGACAACGCTGTCGGGGACAATTGCCGATTACATCATCTGCTTCTACTGCTGCTGCTGCTGCTGCCGATTTTGTTTACTGTTCGAATTGACTCCCAGGCGTTATTTCGAGTGATGTTTTGGGTGCACTCAGGGGGCTGTTGGGTTTTGTGGCACAAGCAAAGTTCTTGAGGTAGCAGCTGCAGTTCCTTGCGTACAATTTGTGTATTTAAGAACTGGCAATCTTGAGCCAGCTTAAAAGGGGGCAACGCAGTTTAACCCTTGTTAAACTTGAGCAGCAACCCCTTTTTTGTTGTTGTTGTTGTTTTGTTTTTTTTTTTGCGTGGTCCAGACGCTTTTCAGCCCACTTAACAGTTCACTAAATTCACATAGTCGTAGGGATCAATGCAATCAGTTGGGTTCACACATCCACAAGAAAAATGTTGTATTTTATTTTGATTTGCCAAAGAAATGCTCAAATCGCTCTCTACGCTTGACCAGACAGTCAAAGCGGCAGATGTTGACAACTCTGGACTCGGCAGGAGTTGTTGGTCCACAGTTTCTTTTGGCTATTGCACGCTTTTATTTTAATTACGTAGCACTGCATAAATACCCTATAACCATAACCATGACATGTGTCCATTTTCCATTGCAAATTTCCATTGGCATTTTCAGGCATCCTCCTCAAACCAAGGGATGAGGGTTGCATTGTGTGCCAAGAATAAGAAATTAACTTTGACAAGCGGACCTACTTCTGTGCATTTTCTTTATTTGCCTTCCGTCTTCTCCTATCTCTGTCTCTATCTCTATCTATTCTCCCTCTTCTCGATCTTTTTGATCTTCCTGTTTTGGCAAACCTACTCAAACAATTAAATGTGTCACATAAATATCGTTAAAATTTTTCCCCTCATTTTCATGCGACTTATTTCCGTACAAATTATGTGAAAAATCTTTAACGATTTAACAATCTCGAATTGGCTAAGCTTTTATCATGAGACAGATTTGACATTAACAATTTTGATTTTATTATGTGTGATTCCATTACAAAATTACAAACGATCCCAGAATAGAATTTTACAATTATTAAATTTGATTTGTTTAAAATGTGCCATTTATGAAACTGTTTTAAGTTTATGATTTTCAAAGAACGCTTCACATATTTATATTACAATTAGCTACGATTTAAAATAAAAATACTTGAATATGGGAAATCTTGAAGTCGCTTGTTGAGAAATCATTTTAAATTAAGCAATGTTTTCGTCGTTTTGTGTCAAACTCTAATCATTTTAAGCTACTGCCTTTAATTATTTTGACATACATCATACATCATACATACATATATCATATTATGCCAGAGCTTATAGATATTATTATTGAGAGCTTATTTCATATTATACCAGAGCTTATAGATATTATTATTATTATTATTGAGAGCTTCTAGTTATAATTATTGATTTCTTTCTTTCAATATGCAGATGAGAAATGCATGTAGACCCTATTCTACATTACTCCTCAAAACTCTCTAGAAAAATATCTGATTTATTGTGTAAAATGTTCTTTTTATGCAATGAAAAAAATCTTATTTTTTCCATCTTTAGATTTAATTCCATAATTTGATACATTTACAGAAGTAAGATTCTTCATTTAAAGCGCTGCAAAGCAAACTGTAATTTTGTCTAAATCATCAATCTAACCATTTTTTTTTTTTGCCTTATTCATTGTTTGTGCAAAACTAAGTCTTTTGCGTCCTTCGCCGATCTTTGTCGTGAAATGTGGTTGCATTAGCCTCGCTCTACATGTTGGCTTTAGCGACGCCCCTCCCGTTCATAGTTCCTCTGGCCAATAGATCATTTATTGAAGATGGAAAAAAATAGGTTTCTTAAGCGGGAGCTAAAACTGCAGCTTGCTGCGCCTTAGCCAGGGCGAAAGAGCTCGAGCCAAAGGCGATAATACCGCTGGCCGGGCGGAATTGCAGTAGGTAAAGATTTGAGCTGCGTCTACCTGGAAAAGTTGACAAAAATAATTGTAAAAAGGATCAGGAGCAGCCGTCACAGGGATTTGTAACTGCTTTGGCTGATAAACACCCAGCAAACGCAAAATGCAATGCAAAAACAACAACAAGAAACGAGCGTCTCAAGAAATTTAACACAAGTACCCCGAAAGCAAAGATTTCATAGAGGTGCAAAAGAGAAAGATAGCTGTAGCGAGAGCGAGAGAGAGAGAGAGAGAGAGAGAGAGAGAGGTCTGTGTTGCCTTTGTCGATCCTGTTTCACCGTTGCAACCCCTATTTGCCGTTGCAACGCTAAGCAGGATAACGACAGCGAGCCGAAGTCTACAATCGGGAATCGGGGATCGGGGATCGGCGATCTGGAACGAGCGGCGATCAGCTCAGTTTCGCAGCGCCAGTCAACGCGCTTGGTACACGGCAAGCGCACAGCGGATAAACATAAAAATAAAATAAAATAAAAGAGCATTTAGAAAAATGATTGGCTATTGCTGAGCAGAAGCTGAAAGGAGTCAACACGATTAACTCACAAGCATTCTCCAGTTGAGAGAGAGAGAGAGAGAGACGCAGACTGAACTTTGTGAACTGAGTGCAAAAAACTAAAAAAAGAATTAGTTTAGGAACCGGATTTCGCGAGAGAACGTCAAGAAAATCCACAGCAGCGATAAGAAATGTTTTAAGTGCCAACTGCACTTGAATTCATATACCAAAGAACACTCTGATAACGATCAACCAAAGACTGCTGCTAAATATTCAATAAATCATCTCTAGCAAAAGTGCAATACAAAACGTTTCTCTCAAATTTCTCACATTTATATCTGCAACACCTTTTAAACACTCTCCCATGCATCCAATCAGCCGAGACTAAAGTGTTATTGTTATCAACTCAACTCAAACCCATACTGAAAATATCCTTTTGAATTATTTTCTGTGTGTCTGTGTGTGTGGTTTATTGTGCGGGTGCATCCGATATTAAGACTACCAGGATTAAAGTCTTCCTGACAGACGTGCCCACATAAATTTACAATTTGGGATCCTCTGCAGTGTCTGCCAATTAACTCGAAACACGTTTTTGCTGGCACAGTGCGAACGCGTTTGCTGTTGTGATCCTGTTTTAAACTTGATCTTTGTTTCGGCCTTTTACTCAAAATTGCTGTTCATGTTACTATGAAGTTGGAACAGAAGCGCAAATTCATTCAAATGGTAATAATTCCTTAATTCGTCGCATATTTTAAGATCATGTTCCCAAAGTGGTTTAGCTTTAGCATCTTTTTCTTGTTAATTGATGTTCACCAGTTGAGATTAGCCAGAATGGTGGTTATGCTTTATAACTTGATATTGGTTGGAAAATCGCATATAATTAAGAAAAAAAAAATCTTGAGTCCAAGTTACTATTTTCAATTACTAAAAAGTTTTCTTCTCATAAGTGATATAAACAAATTTTGTTGTTGGTTTTTGGATGAGGATCATCCAAAACAAGCATGATCAAAAAGTTTAATTTTTTAGTAATTCATTATCATTTCCAATATTGTAAATTCAATTAAATATTAGCCATTATTTATAGAATTGTAAAACTATGATTCAACCACTCAGAAATTTTCCATAATAATAATAAATACTGCTAAGAAATCTCATCTCTAATTCCTTGATTTATTATTTAAATATATTAGTAATTGTTGTGTTATGATTCTCATGTATGGATTGTCCTTTCTATTGTGTTTCTTTAAAGGATCCTGAACTTGGCTACGAGCCGCCATCGGCGAAACGCCAACAGCGTTTGCCAGGCATGGCTTATGGCTGCGATCAGAGCAATCAGTCGTCGGTGGCCTCCTCGGTGTACACGTCGCCGGTGACATCGACGACGACCGATGCACTGAATGCCCAGGAGTTGCTCAGCATACGCAGTTCGCCCGCCGAGGAGCTGCCGGATGAGCCGCATAGTCCCCTACCCGACAGTCCAGACAGTCCGCCTAGTCCGGATCGCGGTGGTACCAAACAGCAGGCGGTGGTGGTGCGCTATGCGTCAGTGGATCAGCCCAAAGCTGATGAGCAGCTGGCGGAGGAGAAGTTGCTGGGTGCTGAGAGCAGCGATGAGTACTCGTACGACGATGAAGATGACGATGAGGAGGATGTGGATGAGGAAATCAATTCGTCGAGCTCCTCGCCTGCCTCCTCAACGGCCACGAACTGTAGTCAAGATGGTGAACGCACCCCGGCAACCCAACAGCTGGCGAGCAACGGCACTCGTCCCGTCAACAAGGATGCGTTGAGCAAGTTCAGCGCTCTCGATGACTTCGCTGGGCACAACAGCTACAAGTGCATGTCCCCGGCCGTGGAGTTCACGCAGCGCCAGTGTCCGCTGCCAGCGTTGTCCTGGGCCAATGCCGCCGATGTGTGGAAGCTGATGTGCAAACGGGATGAGGAGGATTCGCATTTGCGCAGCAGCAGCATGTTGGAGCAGCATCCGGGATTGCAGCCACGCATGCGCGCCATACTCCTCGACTGGCTGATAGAGGTCTGCGAGGTGTACAAACTGCATCGGGAGACCTTCTATCTGGCCGTCGACTATCTGGATCGCTATCTCCACAAGGCACTCAAGGTGCAAAAGACGCATCTGCAGCTGATTGGCATCACGTGTCTGTTTGTCGCCGCCAAGGTCGAGGAAATCTATCCGCCCAAAATCTGCGAATTTGCCTACGTCACAGATGGTGCATGCACCGAGCACGACATACTGCAGCACGAGAAACTGCTGCTGCAGGCGCTCGAATGGGACATCTGCCCCATCACCGTCATCGGCTGGTTGGGCGTCTACATGCAGCTCAATGTGAACAATCGCACACCGGCCACATTCTCGCAGGTTGGCAAACATCAGTCGGCATTCGACGATGCCTTCATCTATCCACAGTTCTCGGGCTTTGAGTTTGTGCAAACGTCGCAGCTGCTCGATCTGTGCACACTCGATGTGGGCATGGCCAACTATCCATACTCGGTTTTGACGGCTGCGGCTATTAGTCATACATTCAATATGTAAGTTGAACACTTTTGTAATCTATATCTCTTCGAAATTAATAAAAAATTAGCGCTTTAATAATTTTTGTTAAGATCATTAATAAACAGTTTCAAGTCAATCAGTTAACAAGACAGAAAATAATGGAAAGATTATTTTTGAATAGTAATTTATATTCAAGTTAGACGTCTTGTATTACTTTTGAGTAGTTGTACTTAATCCAATCTTGATTTCATATTCATAATTTGTTTTAATTATTTTTTTAGGGAGACCGCTCTGCGTTGCTCCGGCCTGGATTTTCAGGTGGTGCAGCGCTGCGCACGCTGGATGCAACCGTTTTTCTGTGTCATCTCCAATAAGGCGGTCTATCTGCACATGAATGAGCAGAACGAGCAGGTGACAAATAAGTTTGGACTGGCCAGTGTCTGTCCCAACATTGTCACCGATGATTCGCACATCATTCAGACGCACACAACCACAATGGACATGTATGTAAGTATTCAAGGGTAATCTATGCTGTATGAGTTGTATATATTAAATGTATTTTTTGTTCTTGTCATTTTTAGGATGAGCTGCTGATGGCACAAAATGCGCAGCATGCGATGCGCGCTCGCACTCAGGCCTCGCCGGCGACGGCACTGCGCGCTCCAGAGAGTCAGTTAACGCCGCCAGCCTCTAGTCACAAGCCGGACGAGTATCTGGGCGATGAGGAGGATGTGTCGGCCACCTCAACCACATCAACCGTTGCAGTCGTATCCACGGCGATTAAGGCCACAGCTTTGAGCAGCAGTAGTTTGGGCAATCCTTTGCCACTACAGGATCTGGCCAGTCACAAGAATGCTGCGATTGCAGGAGCCAACAGCAGTAGCACCAAAAGTAGCAGTCGCAACAGCAAAAGTAGCATCTCCAGCAGTAGCAATAGCAGCAGCAGCAGCAGCAGCAGCAGCCGCAGCAGCAGTCAAGTTTAGGCGCTCTTAAGTCTTGTCATTGTCACTCTCAAAAACACACGCCCGCCCTAACAGTTTTAACGTCTAAGTGTTTCAAAAGTATACATATATATATATATTTCTATCTAATATTATAAATTATTTATGTTAAGTGAAAAAGATATTATTTTCCTAATTCCTAGGATTTTTTTGGTGCGCAGCTCGCATCCTTGTAGAATTTAGTCGTAAAACAAAACAAACAAAAAACACAACAAAAAAAAAAAAATAACAAAACAAAAGAAAACAAAATACCCATTTAAATTTGTGTATGTATATAAACAAAAATATAATTTTACTGTTCCCCATATATATAGAGATATTGCAATGCTTATATTCAAGGCAAAAATGTAATTCTACATTAGATTAATTCATTGTTTTGTTGCAAACTTAAAGTGGAGCAGTGTATTTATTATGTAACTTCTGGCTTGGCGTTGGCATTTTACAAAATCATCTAGCATCTAAAGAGAATGTCCACATGTAAAAAAAAAAGAAAAGAAAACTAAACAAAACGCACTCACACTCACAATCACAACCACATTTAGCTTATTCATAAACAATCATCGCTTCAGACATTAACAAATCTAATATATTTATCAATAAAAGCCTGTGCGCAATATATACTTGACTAACAAACTAAAATTAGCTGATAAGTTGAGGGCAAATGCACCAAAACTAACAACGACTAATGCTTATGCGGCAAATAATTTCATTAATTCAACATTCAACTGAACATTCAACAATTAACAATTAAAACTTAACTAACTGACTACAACAAAGACATATTTATGTATAAATTACTAAGCTGACATGAAGATAATATTTACAATGAGTTTTGGCAATGGCCAATATATTGCCAAATGTAATATGAATTAAATTACAAATATAATCAAGTATAAATATATTAACATGTATTTGCAAACATTTTACTGTAGACTAATTTGCCATAATTTGCTAAGCAAATCAAATCTGTATATATATATAACTTTATATATCAAGAATAAGATACACATTTACAAATACACACACATAGCTGAAACGCATATAATATATTATTATACAAGTGTACAATTTCTTAATGGCAACGTATGTAAATTCAATAACCAACAAACAAACAAACAAACAAACAAATATAGTAAAATTATTTACATAGCTAAGGCATAAATTAAACATTTAAGTGTTCATATGTTTAAGGTTAGAATGGAAACAAACAAAAAATGCACAAAAAAACCAGAACAAGAATAAATTAACAAATAAGTTTTATTTTTAGTTTTTAAAGCAATAATGATTTTAAAGTTATGAATTGATTTTAAATAATTTCACTAGTACGCTTATCCATGATTTGATGTCAACTAAATAACAAAAGAAACAAAAAAATTAAATAAAACAAATATATATTGATATTTTTGTATATAATCAGTTTTATTCATTTTGGGATTGAAAATTATCTTTGACACTTGAATTATTCTTATTTTTATTTTTATTTAAGCCTAATGCAATTTTAAAGATTATAATTATAGATATAATTATAATAATCGCTTAGGAAGGTAAATCCAGCAAGAGATATACTTATTATATTTGCTTAAAGCTAAACTTTTTTTCCAGAAAAAATAAACTGTGTACGGTCAAAAACACATTTATAATACACATATATAATTAAATAAATAAATATATATATATATATATAGATATTTTTTTATTTTTCTAATCAAAAGACAATCAAAGCAAAAGCGCGAATTAATAAAAAAAAATTATATTGAATGGAAAATTCTATAGAGAATTCGGTGGATTGCTTGGGTGTTCGAATAAAAAGCTAAGACTTCAATTGAGCTACAAAATTGAATTCTATATAACTCCGAGTGCGGAAATATTTCGCTGGTGTTTCAGAAAATCTGTGTGCAGATGTCAAAGAGTTATTTGTTGCTTCTAAGCATCTTCAATGACAAAACGTAGCTTAGACTTTAATGCCAACAAAAGGAACGCAACTAAACACTAAATTTATAATATAAAATAAAGTTTAACAGGCGATTAGTAATATGTAATTAAGTGTTTATTTATATTTTGATTTCGATAATTTTCTTAATTTTTCATAACATGTCTTAAATACATAGAAAATTATGAATACAATTTTATTTTTGTTATTTCTCCATTATTTTTCAACTCTTCCACTTCATAAAACGTTTTAATTAGTTCCTCAAACTTACAAATGTAATAAAGACACCTTTGAAAACATTTCTTGCTAATTAATTTCTAGTTAAAAATCATTCAATTTACGCTAAAAAGCTCTTTCTAATAACGAATTTCATTTACGTTTTGGCAAAGCCCTGCCAACTCTTATTTTGCTTGAATTAACATTGCAACAATTGGAGCTTTTAAATGTTGGGAATATAGCTCGTGAGCGAGATGTCGTAGAACTTAGCTTTTGTAACGGAGCATTGTTTCTATCGCACACATGGCGATATATCGAGCTGTTTGTGAATGCAGTGTGGGTGTCAGTCCATCACCAAAAGGAACAACAACAAGAACAACAACAACAACAGCGAGAACAACAACAAAAAGAATCATTGCAACCCCAACAAGACGCACGCGTGTATTTGACAAGTGAAATGTTGGCCGCTGCAACACCGCACCGCTTGCCCAGAAATGGGACTTTCGAAATGGCGAGCAAAATGCTCCCATAAAAGCATTGGCCCCAAAGAGCGCAACGCTCTCGGTTTCAGTTCGGTGCGTGAGCCTGGCGAGTGTGGATGCGTTTTTTTCGCAAAGCGCCAAAAGTTAAATGAAATTGAATTGGATCTAAAGCCAATACAAAACAACAACAAAAATAATACCGCAGCAATCCCTAAAAAAAAAATGCAACAATTCAATTGACAAAGCACATCAATATCAATATTAAAAAATGAAGATGGCATAAGTGATTGCAATGTGTGAAAACCAGTGAAGAAAAGAAGCCAATCAAAATTGACCAGCAATCAACGGAAAATTCAAAAGCTGTCAAATTAGCAAAGAGAAAAGAAGAAGGAAACAAAAAAAAAAAATAATAGAAACGCGGGTGCAATTTAGAAAAGTCGTGTGAAAATCTCTGTACACTACAATTTGGCAAAAGCAAATGTAGAAAAAATTTTGATTATATATAAATAAGTATGTATGTAGAAGTACAATATTTGTGAGCGCCAAAAAGCCGAAGAGCAAATCCCGACTCAGACGCCGACGCCGACGCCAACGACGCCGCGCAGCCATATAAATCGTCTCTTGTCGCGAGCATTTCGAAAGCACACACAGACACACACACACACACACACATTCACGTCCTGCTGCGTCGCGTAGTAAAAACGTAGCGTGTGTGTTTTTGTCGGCAAATCTGTTGACGTTAACATCGCCGCCGTCAACTGCGCTGCGCGCTTCACTGCACATAGCAGCATTTTTTTTTCTTCTTTTCGTGTTTTTTGGTCGAGCATCACTTTTCGCACTGTAACTTCGAAATTGAGAATTTGGCGCGCTGAGCAGCCGTAAGCAGCAGTAAGTAAGTGTAACTGAGCGAACTCGAGTTCGAGTTCGAAAAAGCGACTTGAAAGGAGCTTCTCTCTCTCTCTCTCTCTTTGCATGCGCGTATGTATGTGAAGCTGTAGTCGTTGATTGCACAATAAAATTAAACACACACAGAGACAAAAAGGACAGCGCTTGAAATCATTAGTTTGTTTTTCTTGTTGTTTTTTTCTCTCTTTTTTTGCACAAAGTCACATAAATTAGCAAAAGTTTCAAGCGTTGCCATAAATCAAAAATTTTGTGATACGTTTGTTGTGTGCGTGCGCATTTTGTGCGAGTGTGTGTGCGAGTGTGTGTGCGTGTGTGTGTGTGTTTGTTGCGCGCCCAAAAAAGTATGCTATGGAATTCTACTATTTACTACTACGCACGCTTACAAAAACACACACACACACACAGAGGCATACACTTTGTATATATGTGTATATGCGATATACATGTGGTGTATAGTGCGATACATAATAACGGTATTATCGTGTACTACACAGCCATGCAGCTTACGCAGCTGCGTAAAATCTCAAGGCTTGACCAATGCCCTTAGCCTAGGCGGGCACTACGAAACCCCCATCAGCTTCCGCCCTGGCTACACCCAATCTCAAATCTCTGCTTTAAAAACTGACCCACAGCAGCTTCAATATGCCGTTCACCTACGAAACGTGTGTGTGTCTCGCATAATCTTTCTAAGGTCGCTCACAAATTACACTTTTCCGAAATTAAATTGATCAATTTGAATACATTAGACGCCCGTGTTTACTAATTTTATTAATATGAGCACGGAATATTTAATTTAATTCAATTCGAGCTCTAGTTGGGTTGGGAAGACTGTGCTCCTGGGCTGGTTAAGCAATTTTCATTGTCCTTGGTTCTTATCTCTTATTGCTTGCCTCTTTTCAAAGCATCCCAGAGCAAGTCAATTAATTGTCGACTGTCACTGAAGTTGGTCTGTATGAAGAGCATCCCTTTAGTTGAGGCTTCTGGCCACAAAAGCTGCAGCAAACAAATTTGTCTTCGGGTTCTACGAATTTTCTTGTTTGGCCAAACAAATTAATTTCGATCATTGCAAGTGCATGTCAAGGATTAAACAAATCTGTTTTTGGGTTAGATTTAAAACATTAAATGACCACCAAAAATTAATCGCAATCGAAATTAAAATTTAAAATTTTCTACTTATAGCAAACAAAGCGAATTGCAATAACAAAGAATCGCGTATAACTCTCCTTCAAAATTTATTGAATACTCTGCATTCGCTTTTTAATTATACCCTGTACCTTTTATTTCTCTCGCAGCCTTTTTTGCAAATATGAGTGCAACTGTTGACATACCATGTATATATAGTAACAATGTCAACTGACGTTTGTCGTAGTCAACGCAACAGTTGATTACAGTTTTCCACAATTGAGTCTATTTCACACAAAAAATGCCTTGTTTTTTAACTGCTGTAAATTAAACAAGAGCCGTGAGCTATTGCAATAAAAGCTAGGAAAATATAGTTATTTTTCAAATTCTATTTCAAATTGACTGAGAGTTAGTAAATAGATAAAACCTACACACGATGGAAATAAACCTATATATTTCGCACTATCTTAAAGCAAGTTTCACAAAACTAATAAGAGAATATGCAGGTTACCTTTTCCCCAGTCGTCCCCAGCTACAAAGTATCTATAAATAGATAAATAAAGAAAGCCATTAGTGAATTGGCTCTAAGATATCATACGATATCAAACCGCTTAACAATTATTAGATATGATAAGACTTGTTAAGTTAAGTGAAATCGTTGAGTAAATTGTTTGCCTTTGTTGTGGCAACTACCACACTCAGACACTTCAGACACTCATAATTACCGCGCTTACCTTAAGATGTAGATTACATCAAGGATAAGCACAATTTTGTTCACAAATGCAAGTAATTGCGTAAACCTATATCTCCCAAAACTTAATTCACCAAAAACCTTCTCAATGATTAAATGATTTATATTTAAAACCATTACTTTCGAGAATGCTATACTAGCAACAGCTTAGAAATTCAATATAATTAAATGAGAATGAACTGATTTTATAACCAAATTCGGATTTTTTCAAGCTTATCGATTATTTTTCGTCAGTTAATCAGTAGTTAATCCATAAATGTTTATTGGAACTTTCTTCCAAATAATCTCATTACCATCAACATTTTTTGCAGTTTCCGGGGAAAACTATCAACATTTACACAATTAAGTAAACTGTTTTAAACTACATTTTTTGTGTGCAGTTTTATTATCTTACCGATGTCTAAATACAACAAAATCAAATCAGAATCGTGACAAAACGCTTTGTTCAAAATGCCAGTGAAACTATCTAATTCAGAACGAAATAAGAAAGACCTCTTGACATAACATGATTATTTAAGTATGGATTTATATACTTGTATACACACTTATCCTGCGGCTGTTCAGACATGAAACTTATGAGCAATTTGTATAATAATCGAGACACAGGCACACATATATGTATTTATGCACACAGATTCAGTTAAAACTTTCCTATTGAAAATTTTGATAATCACATTTATTTCCTTAACGAAAACTCCCAAGGCCATGTTTGCACAGCCATTTGCTGTTGTTGTTATTGCAGCACTAAAAACAACAAGCCCGAGAGCCATGGCAAATGGCAAATGGCAAAAAAAAGAATAAAAGAAGCAAAAAGCAAACACAGCATAAAAAGAGAATAAACAACAACAAAGTGGAAGTAAAACCGATATATGCGATATAATAAATCTTTTGTAAAACACGCAAAACTTTGTAAACGTGCGCCAACTATAAACTTTCGCTTCTCAGCAGTGTCCGTTAGTTCAACGTTGCGTATACGCCATGCTGCACATGCTTTCACGATTATTTTCAGCTATTACAATATTTTTAGCTCTCACATATGCAACATGTTTAGATAAAATAAAAATACGGGTACACATATAAATATATTTGTAAACTTGATGTATTTAAATTTTTACTGCGATACTCAAGTATTTAAAAAATAATTTTCTGTTGCTTTTGGTGTATTTTTTTTTTAATTTAAATAGTTTAGTTGCTGACATGGATTCAATAAAATGAAAATGCAGTTGCACAAGTTTTTCATCGAATTCTTTTAAAGTTTTATGCTTGCATTTGTAATATTAAAGCATTTTATTTAAATTGAAAATTTAAATAAATATTCCAGAACTCGACAAATAAATTCACTAACAAAAATAAAAAGATCCTTTTGTGTTGTATGATGAGAATGTATTTTTTTGTAATAGTAAACCACTGAATTTAAATCTGTTCATACAAAATTGGGCAGCCGTGTTTCCCCTGCTTGTATAGGCCTTTAAAGCAACTCAGATTAATTATTTCCATGCAGTTGCAAGTGCATGAGAGATTCGTTGGCATATGTATATAAATATATATATATATAAGTATGTATGGATCTATATTGATGTGCATGTGTTTGTGAGTGTGTGGAACATAAGTTGGCATGTGTTGCTTTTGCATTTGGAATATGTGTAGCTGGCTTTTAGGCGTTGCTGCTGCGAACTATGACAACGAACGCTGGGGCCGCATCCTGTGCGTGGATGCCCCGTTCCAATTCTGTCAAAGTTTTTGATGTGCAGCGAGTGCACTGAAAAGCGAAGACAACAACACAAAAAGTGTGTGAATGCGTGCCACAGTTTAGTATAGTATAATACATATATGTATGTATGCACGTATGTATGTATTAATGCATATGTGTGTGTGTGCGTATCGGTCACAATAAATTGTCTTTATTTCATGCGGATGCGGTCGTTGCGGGTGCTTCGGGTGGAAGTTATGTGAGGGCCGCAAAGGCTTGCGCCATGTTTAATGAAAATTATTACGCGATATCCTTGGGGATACACACATTCTCACACACACCAACACACACACACTCATAGAGACTCGCAGGACGTACAGCTATGTGCGCCTTTTTAGGGGTGGCATGCTCATACAACAAAAAAAAAAAATCGCTTGGCAGAACATTCGTTGGCCCAACTGAATGGGCCGCCTTTGTCAAGGCGCCTGCGCCGAGCTTCAGCGAAAAGGTTTCGACTTCGAAACCAGAGCATAAATTTATGCTTGTGCCTGTCTGTATGTGTGTGTGTGTGTGTGTGTATGAGTGTGTATGTGTGTTGGACAACTCATTTCTAGGTCAAACTCAACCTCCGATTCGAGCAGCTCAATAAATGCCCTTGCAAACATATTTTTATTGCACCTCCAATCGGAATTACATTTTCGTCACAAAGTTTTCCATTGAACCCGCATTAAAAATGGTTTGCAAATGGGTGTGATTTATTTGTATAAGTTTTCTGATTTCAGAGACAGATCGAGTTCATTTTTATTATAATTTATAGAGGGTATTATAATTTTGAAAGGTCTCCTTTCCGACCCTCCAAAACATATTCTTACATAGACATATTCTTCTAAGAAGAGTTCTTCTATGAACAATTTTGTTAATCCGGAGCAAATTCGATGCTTTAAGCAAAATTAATAAGCAATGCAAGGGTATGAAATCTTCGATATGTATAAGATACCCGTTGTTTCTTGACTTTAACTATTAACAAAAAATACATATGAAAAGTTGTAATAAAAACGTATATATATTTGTCCCTTTTATTTACAGTAGTTGAAGGACATCCACATCCCACTCATACATACATCTAAAGGATAATTTATTAACTTTTAATTAAAATGTTAATCATTCGCCAGATATGTCATAAAAAGTGTTGTTGGCAATTTACAAAAATGCGGAATTCTCATATCTCGATAAAAAATAAGTAAATTTGAATTAAAAAATAAATAAAATAAAAATAAATACTGTACTTACTGAAATCGGAAATTAAATTTTTTTCTAAAAAAAACCGACAAAAATCAAAAACAATTCCAAATTCGTTTGGTAAACTAATTTGTGGCAACATAAAATAATGAACACAACCATAAAACAATAATAATATGAATATTGTGCAAGTAAATTGAAAATATATTATTGAGTGTTGGTTACGGAGCCACAGATTTAAATCCCAACTAAAATCAAAACACAACGAGTTAAATTTCTCCGAATTTCGTCATCAAAATGGAGCACAAACAGGTGAACTGTTATCTGGCCCTGTTGCTGGGCGTGCTTCTATTGCACAGGCTGATAGGTGCAGCTGTCGCCGATCAGGATGAGGATATACCTCACAATGAGTAAGTAATCGAAATAGTAAACACTTTTTAAATAATTTTGATATTGATAATTGATAAGGTTATTTCATCTAACCAAGTTTTTTCTTGACTAGAGCACTCTTACTTCTTTTGTCAACAATATTAAAATAATCATTAATTAATTAATTAAAATTTGGGATGTTAGTAGTTTTACTCTAAGACTGATTTATCTTTCAAATTTTGAAATCGATAATGCAAAAAAATATTGCTTAATAGCTAAATAAATATATTATTTTTTAATTTCCACGACTGCTGCTTTATGAGTTGGGTTTACGACTTCCCAGCTTATGTCTGATGACAACCATAAAATTAAACTCTTCTATGACTTATGCACATAGCAGTAAAATTTGACAGTTATCTTATTTATTATTATGATAATTACATTGTCATCTGCTACTTTCTTGAAAATAAGAGTGATTTTGAAGGAATTTATCGTGGCCTAATAATAATCAACTTAGAATAGACTTAAAATACTCACCCGTCTATTGACAGGACACTGTAGGACAAAGAAGTCACCTAACTAAACTAGGTATTTGTACTAACCAGCTCTGCAGGTTTTGTAAAAGCGAAGAAGAATCCTCAATGCACAGTGTTGCCAGGAAGTAGTAGCCCTCAATCCAACAAGGATTCTAACATTTGTGAAGGAGCTGGGGTTGATAGATCTAGCAGGTCGCAGTCCACGAGCCCCAATTATAATAATAATAATCAACACATTTTCTATGTGATCAAAATATACAAAACTTGTCTCAGTTGGGGTCAGAAGTTGTTAAGCTATCCTAAGCTCAAATATACCAAACGACATTTTTGTTTTTTGACAACTTGTGATGATATTGCAGCTGCCTGCTAGTCGAGCTCCCTCGACTTGAGCATTTTATATTCTATGGCTTTGACAATTTGAGACGCATGCGTATAAAATAATTTCATTAATTTGAAATATAAACTTCTGTTTGGCTTTCTTTTATTTTTTCTGTTATTTTTTTTGTTTGTTTGTATATTTTTGTATGTTTGCTTCTGTGTCACTGCAGAAATTCAATTAAATTTTTTTCAACTTTTGCCTCTGCGAGATAAACAACAACAACTAAAGGAGCCTTTGGGGCACAGCCTTGGCGATTATGTTTGAGGCACGTAATCAAAATGATGATGACGATGATGAAGTTGTGCACGTTTCAGCTGCCCCATAGTAACTGACCCAAATTTTGTTAATGCTCGCTAGTTTCTAGAATTATTTATTTTTGCTTTGGTCATTCAACGGATTTTTCCTTGTTCCCGGACGCATTCCAGCTGATTGCTCCTGCTAGCTGTTGTACCATCTGTGCTTGTTATGCCCAGAACAGATTTCCAATGGGTAAAAAGTATATAAGAAAAGTTTTTCAAATGTATACAGAACAGAAGCTGACGTCTCCGATCCCATAAGGTGTAAGATGTACGGATGATCTAAAGTACAGCAGGGGACAGACTGGAGGACAAAGATTTCAGTAAAGTGAGCACATTTGAGCACCAAATTTACTAATTAAGAGGCGTAGAAAGTCGGATGATCGTTGGATAAGCGCATTTCGCAAATAAAAAATTGATTATTATTATTTTCAATTAAAATAGTTTTATTTTCTGCACCGCTGTAAAACGAAGTTTACTAAATTTCCATACAATCTGCATACACTTTTCAAATGACATTATATTTTCTGCTCAGAGCTTAATGCACAGGCACAAAATACACACTCGAATTTCTAGCAGTTTTCCAGTGTTGGTTTAGCAAACTTTGTCTTTAATCTATTACGTACATTTATTTGCGTCACAATCCACAGTCGCTCACTTCCACGCTTACTGCTGGTCTGCATTTTATTCTCAGCGCTTCGCTCTGTTTATAAATTAACTTGTCGTGTTCTATGCAAATCCAAAATCTACTTAATTGCAACAGAAGTGCGAGGCAGGCACAGGCAAAACAACAAAAAAAAGACCATATATTGCCCCAGACGCAATGTTCTTAGTCCGCATACCCCCCGCTCAGTCCCCTTTGTGGCCTATCCCCAGTCATTGCATTTACCGCTTAATGCACTTTCACTGTCATTTGTCATAAGTAGTTAGAGCTCTGTTTGTCTGTTTGTTTTGCCTCGCTATGCTTCCTTTTACGCTTGCTTTTATTGTGATTTTTTATTTATTCACTTGAGCTGCCACGGCTGTAATTAGATCTGCCACGCCCACAAACACACAGACACAGACATATTTGCCACTGGCCGTGTCAGTGCTGGGAATGCTTAATTGTTTTAAGCAGCATTCGTGTCAATTGCCTCTGCGACAACAACAAATTGCAAATGAGTATAACTGACAGCTAACACCAAAAAGCAGAAAATAACAAGTGAGAATGTGAGTCCAGAGACAACTGCGAAATACCCTGTAAACAGAATAATATCAGCAGAATACGGGTTAAAAATATGTTTGGTTTTAGTACTGACTCGGCAATAGAGAAAAGTTCGTTAGTAATTTACCTGAACTCAAAGGCTGTGAAAGATATTGATATAGATATATATATATATATATATAGATATAGATATAGATATAGATATAGATATAGATATAGATATAGGATCTTTTAATTCTGTAATTAAGTCTGGGTGTGGCGCAGAATGTAAGAATGTACAGGAAATTTAATTGCTTATCTTTGAAGGACGTTACCAGCAATCTACCATCTAAATTTTATGACTCTCATTTTAGAATTGTCCGAAAAGACTGAACTGTGAGTTGTATCGACGATCGATGTGATCGTCCCCGATTCCCAGTATCATCCCAAAATTAAAACTTTGTCTAACGCAGACATTAACAATTACTTGCTCCAAGTTTTCAGAAGAATACATTTTATAATTAGAATTTTGTAATTTGTACACTTTAATTTAGTATGCTCTCACAATTGTTAATATTTGATTGGTGTTAAGTAAACGTCTAAGTAAAATAAAAGTAAACTTTTTTTATTCCGAAATTAAAATAGTCTATGAATATTGGATTATTGATTTTAAGGCTATCTCAAGAAAGCAACATCTAGTGAAATCCTCAGAACTCATAGTCAGTTTTTCTAATTTAAAAGAATGCCAATGAGAACGTTGCAGCTGATAATAGATGGTCGAGAAATATATTCGCTGATCCTTAAAGGAGTTCACCATTTAGTGCCTCTAGTTTGAAAATGTGAGACATATGTTATTTTAGCGATTTTCACTTATTGATATTATGGATTTGCCAGCTAACCATTGTCGATACAAACGATGTGACTGACGAATAAATAAATGGACAGACCTTCCCTAACAGAGTATAAAAATTGGAAAGCCAAAATACAATTCAAGTAGCTATTGCAGACAAAAGAATAAAGTACACACACACACACACACACAAGGCAATACAGAATCAAACTAAAAACCCAGAACATAAATACCGCAAGCACCAATGAAAGACCATCAACGTCATCTTGGCTCTCTTGGCCTTCGAAGGACGTTTTTGTCGTGCCCTGAAAATAAAAAGTCGCATTTTGTTCCGCCCATTTTGATAGTTGTGCACCACAACAAAACTTGACAATGGCTAAAACCACGTGAAGCAGGCGGAATGGGGACAAGATTTTTGGCTACATGACAGCACATCAGCTTCACCTGTCCTGATGCTCAGCTCAGGTGCTGTTTTGCATTGTCTTGTGTATCTGCCTTTTAAGCACGAACCACGTTCGTCACGCTCGAGTGTCATATATGTAAAGCCATCGAACTAGTTTTTCTCGGGTCCTTAGCATTAGGTTTTCACTTTTCCTGCCAAGTTTATATTCCGCGACAGGCACTCGTTCTGTCGTTATACACGTACTAGGTCAATAGGTTTTCAGGTTGTAGTTTTCAGTTTGTATAATTGAAATCGAAATGAGTTTCCTTTCCTTTTCCTTCCCAATGCCCAATAAAACAAGGGCAGAAATGTTTTTCAAGTGACAAGACAACAACAAGACATAAGGAGACATCTCCCAGTCCATTCAAAAGTACTCAATTCTTTAAGTAACTCGTTCCATTCAGAAATTATAGCTGAATTTCTCCCCACGTTCTTTGGGAATTTTATTTAAAACTCCGCGAGTGCTGGAAATTCCGTGGAACTTATTTTTGCAGGTCATTATATTTTGTAATGTATAATTTGACATTTGTAAACTTATTATATAAACAACAGAATTCAAAAGAAATCGAGAAAATTGCAGCCGAGTTGAGCACATGGAAAATCCTGGCATTGAAAACTTTACAAGATTAAATCAAGATAGAAATAAGTAGACTCGCAAATACAGTCAGTACTTTGGGTAGGCAGGATATTTAGACAACAGAAAAAGAGCAAATATAAGAAAAAGAGCAAATATAAGAAAAAGAGCACAATGTGATAACTTTTGGCAAACATTTATTACCTAAACTCGAAAGGAAAATCACAACGCAGAGCTCATAAGACAAACGGCAGACAGCAGATAGAGAAAAAGGCAAAAAATAGCAACAAAAATTGAATAAGTATCGTAGAAGGACCACACATCCAAAAAGAGCAAACCTTCTACACGAGTCGAAGCGTTGCTAAGGACATAAAAACTTATATTTATATATTTATACATATAGTGCTACATAAAAGTATTTGTACAATTGTTGAAGCTGCAGATGATTTTCTTTAAATTTGGAAAATGTTTTTCTTTGAAATTTAAAGTTGAGCTTGTACCATATCGACGTAAGGACAGAGAAACAGTTAAGATAAATATTTGTTTATTTATTTATTTAATGTGGATATTGCATTGTCCACAAATTAAGAATAAATGTTGAAAATTTAGAAATTAAAGGAAGAATTAAATTTACAAATTGTAGTGTTTTTAATTGCATCTTGCATAATTCAAATAAAATGGAAATTTAATTTAAAATATTAGATAACGCAATTAATTCAAATGCTGTAATATTTATTGCAATAATTGTGAAATTCCATGAGACTCGAATACGTAAAAAATGTCAACAATTTGTAACTAACACACAGTAAAAATAAAACTACAAAGTGTGTAATGTCTCAATTAAAATTAGCCGATTATTAAAATTATATTAAGAATATTAATATTCAGTTATTAACGAAAATACTTCTAGTTCTTAGTCTCTATGTATAGCCTCCAGAATAAAATAGAATTCTTGCCTTGTTTAATCAATGCAGCTGAAGAACTTAGATATTAGCGTGGGCAGATCTCCAGACAGACCTGGTCATGTCCACTCAAATGGCTACGAATATATATATTATTTACGGCTTCATTGATGTCCGCTTCAGCGCTTTACACATTTCGTGATACATAAACAATATCCAATTCTTGAGTATCCATACACAAGTAACAAGAGCAGCAGCAGCAGCAGCAGCAACAACACTGCGTATACGCAATTTTGATTATCTTGAGCGAGCAGCTACACTCTAATCGTAAGCGTCAACGTTTTGGATTCTATCTAGATACAAAATAAGCGCATGTGTATATAAACTTGCCGATACAGAGGAGGGGCAGTCAGACAACTTAAAGGAATGGGGGATGAGTCGGAGCTGGAGTAGAAGTGGCCTGCTCACAGAGACGCAGACGCAGACAAAGTTTTATGGCCAGCGACGTTGCCCAAAATGATTTAAATTATATGAAAATTCTATTATGGCAGCGTCAAACCAGCGACAAAAGTTCTTCGAACTACAGATTGGGGGTTGTATGCTGATGGAGAGGGGAATGAAGCGTAAACATTGTGGCGAGATAAAGTGGCAAAGAAGTGATTGAAATTGGATAATGGTCAGAAATTTCAGTTGCGTCCAAGCGAAGTCTGTTTATGAGAAAATAATCGCGAAATGTGTGTTAATAATATCAAAGAGATGAACCGACAAGTAGTCGAGAGGAAGGGGAGTTAAACACAAATGGGAATGTAAATGTGAAGCGAAATTTTGAATAAAGATTTCGTATTAGGGAAAGACCACTGAGACAAGAGAAAAGTTTAATTTCACCTAAATTCGTGTAAGTAATAACTCAATTTAGTAAAAAGACTAGTCACAGTGCTCTAGCTGATCTAGAAGGCTCACAAATATTTCATGTCGAGCAATATTAGTTTTATAAAATACTATAAACACTTAAGATCAAATTACAATTTCCAATTGTTTTTTGTCAATATGAAAATACAGTTTTTAACAACTTTTTCTTTGTGATTAATTAATCAATTCGTATCGAACTTTGATGTAATTTTCTTAAATGAAACACTTTTTTTTAAATTAAGTCTACAATGTCAGTTTAAGACTGATTTTTATACATTTTTCACCTAACGCAAATTAATTAATTAATTAATTTTGTTCGTTTACATTTCAGAGTGCGCAACTGGGCCCTTAAATTTGGAGTTGATTTATGGGAATTTGGTCGCCAATTCACCAAAATGAATGAAATCAAAAGTGTGAGTAAATTCTTAGCAAGGCCACGATACATACATATATGAATAAATGTGCAAATACATATTTGGTATCAGATAACTGAGACAATCCTAAGCAAATAACATATAAATATTTAAGTCAACATTCCCAGATAAGAAGGGCAAATGCTTAAGTGACGTTTGTAAATGGCTGCGATTGTTTTTTGGTTTTCATGTTGACATGGAAATGTGGGGTATGCCTGGTTATCGATAAATGGCCAGACGATGCTTAGTGGCTTAGTGACTGGCTTTACCACCAAATGCGTTAATTTTTTGTTCGTGTAACGGAATTTTCTTGCTTTTATTTTGTGGTGGCTTTTGTTGTTCTGGCTCTGCTCTAATACAATTTAAACACAAATGAGGCTAATTGAGGCGGGGCTCGAGACTGACTGTTTGTGTGTGTGTTCTGTGTGTGTTGTGTGTGTGTTGTGTGTTGTGTGTGTGTGTGTGTATCTGTGTTAATAAGCATGACTGTTTGGCTTTGGTTGATTGCCGGATCTGCGGCTGCTCTTCACTCCGTGTATTTCACGCGTATATTTCTGCGTGTAATCAGACATGCATGAGTTAGTGGGCTGCTTTTATTGCAAGTCACTTCTTACGCATATACGTGTGTCTGTGTGTGTGTGTGTGTGTGTGTCTGCGTGTGTATGTGTAAGGATGTGTGGCACACACACTCCTCATTTGCTTTGCATGCATAAGCAAGTTGGTAGGGAAATTTAAAATAAGTGTTCAGAATTTTAAACACACTTCAAACGGTTTTAATTTTCTCACAAAATAAGCATTCATTTAAAAATAACAATCAAAATTATTATGCTTTGCTTAAGGAAACATTCATTTGTCTGTCACAATGGGACTTCAACTGACTGACTGACTGGGGGCTGGTAAATCGCTAACATCGATGAGTGGAAGTCTATGAGAAGACATATCTCACATAATTGTCACCAGAAGTACTTCCATTAACTAAATTGAAAGCCTACTTTAATGATATTTCAATTGTCGACCACTAAATTGAGACGCTCAGCTTAAAGCTAAGTGTGCTAATAAAATGAAATAAGTACCTGTGGTACTTCATTTAACATCTGGTAACAGGGATGCCCCTAGTCTGACCTTCTTGCTGGAGCGTTCTTATTTGTTTCAAAACGTAAACCAGAATTCTAAATAAAAGCAAACAAAACCTTTTTTTATATCAGCTTTTTATTTCCCACAATTTCAAGCTTATATATAAACATCTGTTTGGGAGCAGGTTTAGCTAAATTGAAATACATTCGAGTGAAGACGATATGTATTCAAGTAAAATTGATTACAAACTGAGGCAATACTGTTCATTTACGTATTCCATTAGAGAGAAATGCTGAGAGACAAATATATATATATATATAAATATAATAGATTTTCAACAACATATATTTTTTATAATCTATTTCATTATCTAACTTTTGCTAACCTGCCCTAAGGCTATTGAAATTTGTTTTTAGTCAATTATACTGAGATTAATTCAACATTAATTACATTGGGAGCAAACCGTTGTTTGACAGTTGCCCTTCAAAATTTTGCAATTAAAGTTTTATGAGCATAAAATAAGGAATTCAAAAAAGTTGTTGTCAAATTGATAGCTGTCTATGTGAAGATTTCCTTCGTCAAGTGAAGTTGTTCTTATTATGTTTCTAGTTGAATGGTATTTGAAAAAACTTAGTGTTGATATAACTAAAGGCATATTAGTCGGACTTGTGCTAAACACCACACTCTACAATATCTTCAGTAGAGATATGTCCATATTATTCAATGTATAAGTAAAAGAAATACTAAATTCTCGCCCTGCAATTGCTCTGGTTTTGTTGCCACTGAGTTGTTTTTGTATTGCTGTGCCACAGTGGCAACCCCTTGCAGGAGTTATGTCATTGTGAAAATAAGTGGAAGCTAAAAAAGTTGATGTCACTCAAGAGCAGCATTTACGATGACAATAAGAAACTCACAGATTAAGCCTCTTATGGCTACACGTCAACTCCAGGTAGGTGGTGGCTGCCACCTTTTTAGGTATTACTAACGCATTTTAATGTTCCACGGAGCGAGAGGCACTCGCCCTGATATATGTCTGTGTGCGCGTGTGTGCTTATTTTGGATGCCTGTGAGTGGCGCATATTCATTAATTTTCATTTTCGCTACGTTTTGCGCTGACTAGCTAAACAAAAAAAAAAAAAAAGGGAAAGAAAAGAAGACAACTCAAGCCATATTGTACGTATCTTGTTCAGACAGACATAGGCAGAGGTATCTCTGCAAACACACCAAACATGCACACATCAGGGCAATAATTGCTTTTTCTGCAAATACCCTAACGAATCGAAATTAATATTCCGTAAACATCGAGAAGTAAAAATATATAGAACACAATCTATAAAAAGATACCAGCTGTATCATTTTTTTCAGTAATTAGTCTGATGTTAATCGGTCAGAAATTGTATTCCTTTAACACCAATATAAATCTTTGAAAATTGGTTTCCAGCCGATGCATAGAAACCCTTTTTTACCCACAAGAAATACAAGAAATCTTTTGTCTTAGTCTTAGCTTTCTTCAGAAGTCCCCGATGCGTCAGTCAGGCAGTCAAGACAAACTGTTTCATAAGATTGATATACATTGCTGCTCATAGTTTGCACCCTAAGAAATTTGCTTGGACTATACAATTCTTTTCTTAATCATTATCCAATTAGAGGGTAAATGCAAATAGCACAGCTAAGACAAAGTTAATTAAAGAATTTATTAATAAAAATGTTTAGTATTTTTTTTGGCAATGTTTTATATAAATGTGTAGCTATATAATGTGCACAAGTGCGTTGCCATTTAGAATTGATGAGCTGAATGAATTTGTATTGAATACTTGCACACATTTAATGGGATTGGTAATCCCGGATTACATTAGAAATATATTTATTCAGCAGTGTTACAAGCCGCATGAACTGTTCTAGTAACTCCCGAGAGCGACAAAACAACATAAACACATACACACACACACACATATAGATCGAGACGTGGAAGGACAGGGTACAAAGTGTTACACATTAGCGCCGTAGCCCAAAATGACAGACAGCCAACGCGGCGTATACATTATGCGCATATACGTTCAAAGAAAAATAGAGCGGCGAATGGGCCGAAACCCAACGAAATGAAATGTAATGAGACGAGACGAGACGAGATGGAACGAGACGAAACGAGACATCGATTACACACAATGATGTGTTGCCAACGATGATGATGATGATGGCGATGATGATGATGATGATGATGATAATGGTGGCGATGATGAAGTCGCTCCTTGTCACTGTTTTTCTCTTTGTTGTTGTTGTTGTTGTATTTATACTCTGATACAAAAAGGTGGAAGAGCATATTGATTTTATGCAAAGTACTCCTAAAATTCGTGGAGTCATCAATTTTGAAATTTAGATAAGGGATTAGCTTTTCTAAAGGTCGAACCAAGTCGCACCCAGAACTGCTCACTCTCCGGCTGGTATTACTTTTAGTATCAGAGCATTATGCAGTCGGCAACTTTAGTTGTTATTGTTGTGATCATTATTAGCATGTCTTGTGCCTTGTTTATCGTGTTTCTTGTACAATTTCACCGACTCTTTATCTCGGGATGTTGGGTACAATGAAATATGGGTCAAATACATGTCGAAATTGCAAAAGAAATGGCATTTCCCATTTCGTATTTCTTGTTTTTGTTTTCGTATTTGGGGTCGGCTCATTAGTCCTGGTTTCTTCAACATTTGCCAGCAAATGTTGCTTTTTATAACCTGAACCCAATAAAAATGGGTTAAATGGCTCTAATGAAGTCGTGCAAAAGTTAAAAGTCTTGGAAAAATTTTTGATCAGCATCAAATGCCGAGTTCATCTAACTATTTCGTCCGACTATCTGTTTAAGCATGCAGATCTCAGATTATAGACTCAGAGAGAATTTTTCAGTTACCTTAAGCTGATCAAGTTTGCTTAACTCGATCAACAATTTTAAATTAAAGAACAAATATCGATAAAAGTCGATTGCTGATAGCAGTAAAATACACAATTTTAAAGAGATAGCATAAACTCTGTAAATTTTGAAACCGTTTACGACCAATAAGTGAAGACTTTGATGTGAGGGCATCTGCTAGTCGTGCTTTCTCTACTTGATAATTTTCAGGTTTCTTTTTCATATCACTCGCATTCGCATGCAAATAAATTTAAGCACGCGCTCATTTTGCACGTAATACAAAACTTTTTAACTGCTTACTGGCAAAATGGAAAAGCGGCGCGTGCTGTCGTTTTTCTTCCCATTTCCCTACAGTTTTCCTTCTCCTTTTTGGTTTTTTTTTTTTGGCTCACTTACTGCCACTGGTAGCCAGTGCAAAAGTAGCTTGCAAATTACTCTCCACTTGTGTACTCGGCGCTCTTTGCTCATTGAAGATTGACGTAAACTAACTGTAAGCCGTCTTGATTGCAATTGCCCTAAGGGTGTGTGTGTGTGTGTGTGTGTATGTGTGTGTGTGTCTGTGTGTGTGTGTGTTTGTGTGTGTGCGAAAGTGCCAATATTCAGTTGGTTGGCCTCAGATGCCACAGGAGATGATTGGTGTTTGATCTTTATATATTAGTTTTTTTTTTATTTTAATGTCTAGCTTATTTTTCGTAGAAAAATTTTATTACAAAATTTATTATCAATAAATCAATCTAAAATATAAGTAAATTTCTTCACAAAATATGAGTCAATTTATTCGCCATACAGAATATCCAGTTGCAATAATTATTTACTATTTGATGAGCGTTCACAAGACCTGTGCCTGATTATATCTGTTGAAATACATAAAATAATATATATATATTATCTATTAGTTAAAGAAAACCCATACATATGGCAACAATTTACATATCGGTTAATATTTAGAATCTAGTTGAAGCTTTATGATTATCATGTAGAGCCATAGATTTAGACCCAACAATTATTGAGTAATGTTAACGCTTA